ATGCCAGGGCCTGTAAGCCAACTCTATCTTTTTCTCTCTCGCCATGATAAAATTCCAGTTACTATTTCTCACGAAAATTCATCAACTAGGCCTGTGAATCAGAATAAAGACATATATATTCGAATAACTTGTAATCATAGAGCCTAGAATAGTAAACCTGGAAGCATGATATAGAAGAATTTCGAAATAGATTTTCATTTTTTTTCCTCCGTGGGAATTATTCTTTTTCTCTTGTTACAATGAAAAATACTTGATTGATCAGCATATATAGATGGTAATCTACATGTTGCTTTTCACCGTTGCAGAAATTACCTAAATGGTGGGGTTGGATCTACTGGATATCTCCAATGTCATGGTCCCGAAAGCTTTCCTTACTTCACAATATGGAGATATAAACCAGGAAATGATTGCATTTGGAGAGCGGAAACCAGTGAGCGCCTTCTTAGAAAGCTACTATGGATACAAACATCAGGATTTACCCATCATAGCCATTGTTCTTATTGCTTATCCAATTTTCTTTGCATCCATTTTTGCTTTTTGTATAGCTAAGCTAAATGTTCAAAGGAGGTAAAATAAACAAATTCTTCTGTTTCAGTTCCCAATTTCTGATTCACCTTTTCTACATTTTTCTTTGTACATTTTTTCGGAAAGAAAAATGTATCATATCAACGTTGATAAAGAATTAGTACGTGCAATTCATAATTTTTTTATTAATAAAACTAGTTATAACAAAAACATCAATCAAACCCAATATAGATGAACTTAATAAAAGAAAAAAAAAAAAATCTCTTTACACCAACAAATTTGTATCATCTATCTCTTAAGTACTTCAAAATCTTGTGCAATTTTCTCATCATTCTTTCTCTCTAGGCACCATTACAATGTTTTGACAATCTAAACCCATGGTAGAACAACTTGACATATCGATTTGTTTCGAAATGCTGATCTCTAGGGAGCTTGGCCGGTGTGGTTATAATTGCTGTAATGATCAATATTAAAACCCTTCAGATTTTGTCCCTTTTTTTAAGTTTTACAAGGTCCAATGTTTCTTTATTATATATATATATATATATATATATATTCTTCGTGTCAGCTCAAACTAGCTCTTCCTCCGGCAGCATCAGATTCTATCTTGCAATAATTTAATTATCTCTGAATCCCAAGTGCTGGTATTTCAACGAGAGAAGTTTCCAAGAAATGACTAATGAGAGTAAATGTTTAAAATACATAGCCTGATTCCCGCGTGAACATTTGAAGTCGGCTTCATTTATTATTATTGTTGTTGCAGACAGTCAACCAAAGGGTTCGCTTGAAATTAACGCACGAATCACAAAAATCCAGACAAAGGAAAGTAACTTTTGATTCTGCATGCATCACGATTTTGCAAATTTAATAAGAACAATTAATTGATTTTGCATGCACCCTTTTGAAACCTGTTAAAATTTTAGGGTTGATTAAGTTAAATTTTAAATTTAATTAATTTTTTTCTTGCGTATTTTAATTAAAATTTAAAACACGTTAAAGACAATTTCAACTATTATTGAATTTATATTAATTAAGAATTTCGAATAAATATGTGCACTTACTTTCTAAATTCACAAAGTTCCAGCTAAGTAAAACAAATCATCCTACTTTGAGAGATTTCTTAAGCTATTATACGAGAATAATATGTGAAAACAAATCAACTAATAGAGCTAATTAAAGTGGTTCATTTTTTTTTTTTTTGCTTAATTAAGAATTTCGAATAAATATGTGCATTTACTTTCTAATTTCACAAAGTTCCAGCTAAGTAAAACAAATCATCCTACTTTGAGAGATTTCTTAAGCTATTATACGAAAATAATATGCGAAAACAAATCAACTAATAGAGCTAATTAAAATGGTTCATTTTTTTTTTTTGCTTAATTAAGAATTTCAAATAAATATGTGAATTTACTTTCTAAATTCACAAAGTTCCAGCTAAGTAAAACAAATCATCCTACTTTGAGAGATTTCTTAAGCTATTATACGAAAATAATATGTGAAAACAAATCAACTAATAGAGCTAATTAAAGTGGTTCATTTTATTTTTTTTTGCTTATTTTGTACTTTACTGAAAGTTCAATGGAAGGTCCCATTTGTTGAATAGAAGACCGCTTCCTCAGGAGCAAAACTCGTCATCCCCACCCTGGAAAATTTACAAAAATCTCTGCATGCCAATCGAAGAAGTTTAATTGGTGATTGCATGAATTTCACATGTTAATAAAAAAAATTAAAAAGAAAAGTTGCAGTCTAGCAATGTTGTTGGTATCGACAAAATGATAAGATATGGAACAGATTTTCTGGTGTAGACGATATGGTTTTATAATGGGATTATTTTTTTATTATCAATAAAACAACTGATATGCCACATGAATGAACTGGAAAACAAAAAATTAGCTGAGTCCTCAACTTAATTACTATTTTTTAACTCAATCTTTGGTCTTTAATTTCTTGGCATTATTAGAATTTAGGCCGTCTAAACTAAGAATTAATCCATTTTCTTTTCCAATGCTTCCATATGTATTCTACAAAAAAGCTAAACCCATATGAAACCCAACTTCCATTTTTTTCTTATTTAATTTTTGTTCTAATCCTTGAGAGTATTTTTTAAGTCGATTTTTTTTGACAATTTTATTTTATCATGATCATAGATCGTTGAATGTATTATTAAGTAATCAAACAGGAACTACATTTTCATACTTGTTCAAATGCTGTGTGTGCAAGTGTGGAGTCATTCTTTCTTTGAACGAAACTGATCTTCAAACAATAAATTGTATTTTGACCAAAAAAAAAAAAAAAAAAAAACCAGCCAATGCTCAAGATTTTTGTTTTGTTGTTGACTCATAAGATACGCCAGTATTTTTATATAAATATCTACGTACGGTTAAAATTAAAAATTATAGTATTAATCTTAATTATCTTTTTTACATTCATCATTCATCATTCGAATTAGGAGATAAAATTAATTATATCTCAATTTAATATATTTATTTCGAATAAAATTACATTACTATTTTACACATACACGTTCACATTATCCAATATTCCTAGTGTTATAGATGCCTAATGTATATTACACTTACTCTTTGTATATATACAAGCAAACTTAATTTGCACACGTGTACACATTTATTATAATTTTATAAAATCTAAAATACAAATTATATCATGAAAAAATATATATAGACAATCGAATCGAATGTGACGTTGACGTATATATAACTTTCTTTTTTGTCAAAAAGGCAACTAACAAAATCAACAGCGTTTTTAGCTGTACCACAGCCCATGCCATGCCAAATTTCTTCTAGCTTTGCCATCCTCTGCTTGTCCGTCTGACATTTTCTTCATCAAAAGGACCTGGCGTAGCTGTATATTGACCCTCCCACACTGGACTGCAGGTTAGGCAGCCAGTTATAAAAGCCAGATTCCTATCACCCTGAACCTCAAACCTTTCCTGTAAAAACTTCTTACGTTCGCCATAGAAAGAAAAATTAATTAGGCCATACTGCTAAGTAATTTAGGTTCAAGAAAGGATTCCTTACCAAAATCATCAACATTTCTAAAAATTAATTAGGCCATACTGCTAAATAATTTAGGTTCAAGAAATGAGAAATGATTCCTTACCAAAATCATCAACATTTCTAAAAATTAATTAGGCCATCCTGCTAAGTAATTTAGGTTCAAGAAATGAGAAATGATTCCTTACCAAAATCATCAACATTTCTAAAAATTAATTAGGCCATCCTGCTAAGTAATTTAGGTTCAAGAAATGATTCCTTACCAAAATCATCAACATTTCTAAAAATTAATTAACATTTCTAAAAATTAATTAGGCCATACTGCTAAGTAATTTAGGTTCAAGAAATGATTCCTTACCAAAATCATCAACATTTCTAAAAATTAATTAGGCCATACTGCTAAGTAATTTAGGTTCAAGAAATGATTCCTTACCAAAATCAGCAACATTTCTATATATTATCGGAAAACAGTAGAGTGAGCAAACAAATGAAGGCAACTAAGATACCGTAAAAGAGAGAGGGAATCAAACACGTATGGCTACATTTATCATGAACATGTGATTTGATCTGATATGAGGCGTCAAGTCCTCAAATCAACTACAGCCTGTCTTTGACTCTATTACATAGTTATATATTTGTAGTAATTATTTTCGTATGTATATACGTATATATGTATGTTTTTTATTTACAATTAAGTAGACAAATTAATCCCTACACGTAATTAATATCAAAAGATACGTTAAACATTCCTTACTCTAATATCTTATTATGTAGAAATAAATGTAAATAGTATATCATCAGTTATCTTTTGATATATGATAGTAGTATAAGATTTTTGACATGTATTGTACATGTCCCATAAAATACAAAATGGAAAAGGGGACTCGCTTTCAGACTCAAAAAGGGGATTCACTAAAATATCTAAAAAAAAAAAAAATAGCTGCATCTACAAGAAACGGCAAGCATATATATGAAGATAAGCACTGGAAGACAAATCTTGTTCATTGACCAGTGTGGAAGGAAACAAATTATATCACGACGCCTAAAATTTGTTTTTATGATAGCATATCACTTATAATTTTTTTATTATAATATTATAACTATTTAATCAAAAAAAAATTTTATAATTCATCACTTATAAATATAAATTTTATATAAAAGTTTAATAAATTTCATATAATTTCAAATTGTAATTGATTAATTATATTAAAATTATTATAGGTGAGATAATTATTTGTATTATTTTGACCAAATAATTATTGTGGAGAGCAAAAACTAGGCAAAAGAAGCCCCATTTTTCATATTTGCTGGCATTATTTTGTGTAATTTGACCGAAACCGCCCCCCCCCCCCCCAAAAAAAAAAAAAAAAAAAAACAAAAAAGGAAAAAGAAGGCCCCCATTGCATTTAACGTCGGCTTTAATTCGTATATATAGAGGCAAAGGGAGGCATGCATGACTACAATTCTCATTTCTCAAGCAACTCCTTGAAACTCTCTTTACGTTGAAAAAAAAAAAAGCATGGGGCATGAACTAGGGAACGATGAGATAGAACAGCTGGCTGAGACAGGGAGAAACCTCAGGTCATCTTTCCGCCAGTTCTCTTCAAGCTTCAGGAGTGCTACCTCCGTTATCGCTGAGTCGTCGTCGTTGAGAGAAAATAACGACGATGAGGTGGAGTTGCAGTGGGCTGCAATTGAGAGATTACCCACTTCCAAGCGCCTAAGAACGTCATTGTTCGATCACAAGCTTTTAAATGATAGCAAAGAAGATGATGGTATAATTGGCAGAAAGGTGATAGATGTTGCAGAGCTTGGAGATTTAGAACGCCGCGTTTTCATCGAGAAACTCATTACCAGAATTGAGGATGATAATCTCCGCCTCTTGAAGAAACTGGAAGAAAGAATACACAGGCAAGAACCACCCTTAAAGTCTCTTTCTCGCATATATCTAACCATTTAGTCATCCATGCATAAAACTTTTGAAATATATATATATGTGTGTGTGTGTGTGTGTTGTGTTTATAAATTCAATCTTTTCATAATTAATTTGCAGATTTTACAAACTTTTCGTCCTTATTCTATACGTCTAGAAGTAGATGCGTTATGTTTTGATCCTTTGTCCTATAAGTGGCAAATGACAAGGGAGATTTGCATCAGTTGAAAAATGAAAGTCAAACTTATATTTAATCAATGGTGACAGAAGCAAAACCTTAAGCATGATGGAATGTTTATGCATGTATCTAATTATGATTTGTACACAAACGTGCAATTGATTCATGAATAACTCAATAAAAAATAAATTATTTATGGATTAATGACTCACAACTGATAGTGACGTTTGTGCTTATAGAGTGGGGTTGGAATTGCCAACCATTGAAGTGAGATTCCAGAATCTGTCTGTGGAAGCAGAATGTGAAGTAGTTCAAGGAAAACCCATCCCTACTCTTTGGAACACCATCAGCAGTGTATTCTCTGTAAGTTTTAATCCCCAGTTGTTTGCAATATGTGCCAAACTGATAGAATATATATTTCCAAAACATTGAAACTTCTATTCATAATCGCTTACATTACATACTAAAGCAAACAATAATATACAGTGGTTTCCTGCTATACTAATAAAATACAACGAATGTCTTTGTTTCAGAAAATTAAATAATTGGAATCATCTTCTTCTGACTAAAACACTTCACCTTAATAATATTTAAAATAGTTATACATTGGTTTGACCTTCATGAAACCCCTCTTGTTCACTACAATCTGGAGATATATATTTATATATTTTTCAAATACTTGTGATAGCTTGATGTTGTCCGATAATGAAGGAGACCTATGATGTTGAACAGGCTTTGACAAAAGTTAGCAGATGCAAGTCCCAATCACACAAGATAAAAATTCTCAAAGATGTCAGCGGCATCATTAAGCCCTCAAGGTTCACCCGGGATGTTGACTTTACACGTTCATGTCATCTGTGCAGACCTATGAGTTTAGGCTACTTTTATGGAGAACAATAGTTTTACTAAACATAGTAATTGATAAGCTGTCATAAACTCACTTTTTATGCAGGATGACTCTACTGCTTGGCCCTCCAGGCTGTGGAAAGACCACTTTGTTGCAGGCACTTGCTGGGAAGCTTAACCCATCTCTCAAGGTTTTTTACTTTTCCTTCAGACCCCTCTTGAAGTAGCAATGTGAATAATCTGCTTAAATTGACAAAGGCAATATAAAGCACAATTTTAATGATTGATTTGAAAACTACAAGCAAATGATATAGTATCTCATAAGTTTTAAAATAATGACATTGAACAACAATCTTGAGGCATATTTTTTATTTCAGGTCACAGGGGAACTATCCTACAATGGTTACAACTTCAGGGAGTTTGTCCCTCAGAAAACATCAGCTTACATAAGTCAATATGACCTACATATTACTGAAATGACTGTAAGAGAAACACTTGACTTCTCAGCTCGTTGCCAAGGCATTGGTAGCAGAGCAGGTAGATATCACTTTGTGTCTTGTACGAACAATCATACCTTCATAACAATAAACTAATCTTAAAAGTTTTCTACCGATGAAGATTTGTTAAAAGAAGTCAGTAGAAGGGAGAAGCAATCTGGCATTGTCCCAGAACCAGATATAGACACGTACATGAAGGTAATCAATTTGCAAGAAATGGCTATCTAGTTAATACTTAAATTAGCAGGAGCTGGATACCATTTCCTTTGGGACCTTCTCTGACAATAATCTATGTTAACAGGCAATTTCTATTGAAGGATTAAAAAGAACTCTCCAGACAGACTATATATTGAAGGTAATTCTCTCAAAAGAAAAGAAATGTATAACATGAAATCCATATTCTTTTCTAACAGTTCCACATCCATTCATTACCATTCAGATTCTTGGATTGGACATTTGTGCCGATACTATAGTAGGAGATGCAATGAACAGAGGAATCTCAGGTGGTCAAAAGAGAAGGCTGACAACAGGTTTGTGCAGTTTTATCACCTTTCTAATAAAGTTATAAAATTAAATAGAACCAAGATTAATGTTCCATAAAGCCCTCACAAATGACAAGGGACCTTGATGAAAGCCTAATGATCAGGATAATTCCCAGACTATTACTAAATCATGTCATTCTAATAGGTCTTCTATGTTCACTTTTGACAGGGGAAATGATAATTGGTCCAAAGAAAGCTCTCTTTATGGATGAAATATCAACTGGCTTAGACAGCTCTACCACCTTCCAAATAGTTACCTGCCTACAGCAACTAACCCACATTACAGAGGCCTCACTTTTAATATCACTTCTTCAACCGGCACCAGAGACATTTGATCTCTTTGATGACATTATTCTAATGGCAGAAGGAAAGATTGTATACCATGGACCATGCAGTTCTGTTCAAGAGTTCTTTGAACATTGCGGTTTTAGGTGCCCTCCACGAAAAGGCGTTGCTGACTTCCTCCAAGAAGTATGTATCCTTCTTTAATCTACCTAGCACATCTGGCATTTTCCTTGAACTGATGTTTAAAATATATAAATCTAATAGGTACTTTCTGAAAGGGATCAAGCGCAGTACTGGTATCGTAAAGACCAACCTCATAGTTATGTTTCTGTGGACAACTTCATGGTTGCATTCATGAAGTTTCACTCAGGGCAGAAGCTAAATAACGAACTCTGTACACCTTTCAATAAATGTGAGAGCCATAAAAGTGCCTTGTCATTCAACATCTATTCATTGGGAAAATGGGAATTACTCAAAGCATGTATGGCAAGAGAGTGGCTTCTCATGAAGAGAAACTCATTTGTTTATGTCTTTAAATCAACTCAGGTAATACCAATTCTAATAAGTATGAATTTATAATATCTAACATTGGCAACCCAACATGCCTACTAACCAACCTTGGATGCTTCCTACATGCAGCTTGTAGTTATTGCACTGATAACAATGACGATCTTTATTCGCACTCAGATGAAACTTGACATGGTCCATGCAAGCTATTACCTAGGTTCCCTGTTTTATGCACTCATAAGACTTATGACGACAGGAATTGCAGAGTTGGCATTAACCGTTTCCAGACTTTCAGTATTCTATAAGCAAAGAGATTTCTACTTCTACCCAGCATGGGCTTATTCCATTCCAGCTGCTATTCTAAAGATTCCATTTTCATTGCTAGATGCTTTTCTGTGGACAGCTCTTACATACTATGTGATTGGTTACAGTCCTGAACCAGAAAGGTTTATTTTGTTAACAAAAATTTTCGTTTGTTGTGTTAAAGTAGATAAAAATTTAACAAATGTTATCACCTTTTAAGCCAAGTATTATTTTCAGGTTCTTCCGCCAACTCCTCCTCCTTTTCCTTGTTCATCAAGTGGCAGTATCACTATTCCGTTTGATTGCATCAGTTGTTAGAGATCCACCTTTTGCAGCAAATTTTAGTCTTTTTACGTTATTGGTGATATTTTTATTCAGTGGCTTCATAATTCCACGACGTAAGGCCATTCATTACTTATATGAAAAGATTAAAAAGATGTAAAGCACTTATGTTAATATTCCAAACCTTTCCTGCAGCTTTACTACCGGCTTGGGTCGAATGGGGCTTTTGGCTTTCACCACTTGCATATTCTGAAATAGGTGTTGCAGTAAACGAATTTCTGGCTCCAAGGTGGCAAAAGGTGAAAGACAAACCACTGATATTTGTTGGTCAAATGCAGATTCGAATATCTCTCCTCACACTTTATGTTTGCTTGTAATTGTTCACTTGCAGGTTTCATCTTCAAATGTGACCTTAGGACAGCAAGTTCTAGAAAAACGTGGGTTAAACTTCACTGACTACTACTATTGGATATCAGTAGGAGCATTGATAGGATTCTGGGTGATTTTTAACATTGGATTCACCTTCGCATTGAGCCTTTTAAAGTGTAAGTTGTACCTTAACATGCACATACAAGAAAATAATGATAAAAAAACAAAAACGAAGTGAATCAAATCTTTAAAGTACTAACCTGTCTATGCCGTTGCAGCTCCAGGGAGTTCTCGGGCTATTATTTCACATGAAAGATTTTCTTACCTAAAAGAAAAAGAGGATTTGAGAGCCAAAGTTCCGGGAAAAGAACTGCTTACTGTTGACTCTCTAAAAGCTCAAGAAGAAACAAAAGTTATAGGTGAGAAGCTCTTGTTGTTCGAGTAGTACTACTTTATATGATAGAGCATTTGCTGGATGTCACATACAATAAACAAATAATATAGGTTAGCATGTAATATTTTCTGTACTATAATTGAACAATCACATTTCTATACTACAGGGATGGTTTTACCTTTTGAGCCCATGACGATATCATTTGAGAATGTGCAATACTTTGTTGATACTCCCAAGGTAACTATGTTATTCCTCAAGATATTTCCCCGCATTTTCAGATATAAATAAAATATTTTCCAATTTCTTCTACATATTCCAGAAACTGAGAGAGCAAGGGCTTCCACAAAAAAGACTACAGCTACTTCATGATGTTACCAGTGCATTTAGGCCGGGAATTCTTACAGCTTTGATGGGTATTAGTGGAGCAGGAAAAACAACACTAATGGATGTACTTTCTGGGAGAAAAACCGGTGGTCATATTGAAGGGGAGATAAGAATTGGAGGGTACCCCAAAGTCCAAGAGACATATGCCAGAATATCAGCTTACTGTGAGCAAACTGACATCCATTCTCCACTGATTACGGTAGAGGAATCAGTGATGTACTCAGCTTGGTTACGTCTGCCAAACGAGATTGATAAGCATAAACGATTGGTAAGACATGTTCAAACTTTATTCAAATTTACATAGTTTAATCATTAAATGGCACATACTTGCTAGGCCAAGAACCAAAACTCAGACCTATCCTTACCCATTGGGTGACCTTTGTATCTAGAGAGGAACAGTTGAGGCAGTGCTCTTACTCTTTTGCATTGAACTGGTAAAACTGTATATGCTTTATGTCGCCAAAAAAGTGTAAAAAATTGAACAAAGAAATAAGTAGCGGAGGACCATCACCCGGGTTGTATAACTCACTTACCTATGTCCCTAGGACTTGTATGCATGCTAGAATTATATCATGATTATGAAAATAAATTGCTTCAAAATGTTTAACTCACTTACCAATCTAACAGGAATTTGTAGCAGAGGTTCTTCAAATGATTGAGTTGGATGAAATTAAAGATGCTTTAGTTGGCATCCCTCGTGTAAGTGGAATATCACCGGAGCAGCGTAAACGGCTAACTATAGCAGTAGAACTTGTTTCGAATCCATCTATAATATTTATGGATGAACCCACTTCCGGTTTAGATGCCAGAGCAGCTGCAATTGTCATGCGAGTTGTGAAGAATATTGTTAACACAAAGAGGACAATTGTATGCACCATTCATCAGCCAAGTATAGACATATTTGAAGCATTTGATGAGGTAATTAACTGGCAGATTCACATCAATGATAATTATTGCATGTAATAAAAATTAAATGTAGCCTTCCAAGAGAATTATTCTGATGTTGTTCCATATTTTAAATATTTTAAACATACTACTAAATGTTATTAGACATGATTCAATCAGGCAGCAAGACCATAATCACCAAAGAGAAGTTGTTATAGCTTACTTCTTACATGTTTAGCTCCTCTTCATAAGCTAGAGAATATAAAAATTCCATTGGTTGGGCCAATTATTATGTTAATAGAAAATTTCTCACCAAAGTTTTGCTCATTAGATTCAAGTTAATTTTCATTTTCCTTCCAGTTTATGAAACTACTAGAAGTGGAGAAAGTATGTTAATTTAATAGGATGGAAGCATTCATGCCCAAATAAGTATTGTCAGGTGCCATATTTGTTTTTGCATAACATGCGCATATCCTTACAGCTCATTTTGATGAAAAGAGGAGGACAAATGATATATGCTGGAGAACTGGGTCAGCATTCAAGTAGGCTTATCGAATACTTTGAGGTAATCCTAAAAAACAATATCACCATGTAAATTTTATTTTGCATTATATGTTTACATTCTTTCTAGCTAGTAGCCTAGGACATTCTTTCCCATGTTAGTCATGAAAATGATATTATAATAAAGAAATAGCACCATACGTAAAATTAATGGCATTTCTATAGAAATTCTCTCTAACTCGTCCTACACTCATGACAACATTTTACACCCTTCTGGCAGGGTATACCTGGAGTACCAAAAATTAAAGAAAACCATAACCCAGCAACGTGGATGTTAGAAGTCACTACTCCTTCTGCAGAGGCTCAACTTGGAATAGACTTTGCTTGTCTCTATAGAGAATCTCATCTCTACCGGTAAGTTCATTATCATAAATGAGTTAGAAAAACTATTAAGACGTCAAGGTTTCACCACTAACCCTATATTTTTGGGTTCACATGTAGCGAAAGCTATTACAGATATCACATTTGGGTATTTTGCAGTTTTTCCTTTGATTTTAGTTGAAGGAGCCATAAACACTCTTACAGAGTTTTTTTTTTAAAATATTTTTCAGTTTTTCACCCCATCACTGCAACCATCCCTATTTAGTTTTTCATAGAACTTCCACATTCATTTAATTGTTTCAGCATCCACCCTCTTTGCTTTCTTACACCACCTCCCCACCACAAAGTAACATAAAAATGCTTTATCAAATAAGGTTTCTGGTGCCTAACTTTTGTGTATCATACCAAGTGATATAATATTCCTTTCTCTGCAGGAGAAACAAAGAAATAGTCAAAAGCCTAAGCCTTCCAGCACAGGGTTCAGAGCAACTTCATTTTTCTACACCCTTTCCACAAAATGGATGGGAGCAACTCAAAGCTTGTCTTTGGAAACAACACTTGTCCTATTGGAGAAGTCCCAAATACAACTTAGTGCGCTTGGGATTTACTGTTTTATCTTCTTGGTTATATGGAGCATTGCTTTGGCAGAAAGGACAGAACCTGTAAGCTACTTTCTAGCTAATTTTTTTTCCCTTTTAATTGCCAATCATTTAAACACAATGATCACAGCAATTCTAAGAAATGTTTGTTTATGAAGCATGTCCAAGAGTTATGTCATTGAGTTAACATAAAATGCATCTTCATATAGTAAGTTGATCATCAACAAGCCCTAAGAAATATGGTTTTTGGGCACTATGATATTACTATTTAAATTTGCATATTTTCACTTGTCTAACTTAATGAAACTTTTGTACCCCAAAAAAGAACCATTTAATGAAATTTTATTGTATCATTTTGACAGTCTAACTACTCTAAAGCATTCTACCAATCAAACTACATCTATATATAAATACCCATATATGTATTCTCCTTTGATAATGAAAGCTTTATACTTATCATTTCAAAATAATAACTATAACAAATCTTCTACTTGATAACCATTTGCACACAAACTTTCCTGTTCAAATTGGTGACTTTGTTTACAAGGATAGAATTCAATGCTAAAAGAGACAAGAAAAATGTATCACTAAAAACTTGTTTGCTCATGCTAAATTTAAAGAGGATAGAGAAGGCAAGAGTAAGAGAAGTTAGTAGAGACATACAAACTAAAATTTAACAGATTAATAAAAAAATTAAGCAGTGGCATTAAGTAATGACTCATCATAACAAGTCAATTAGTAAGTGTCATTTAGCATACCCTAGCAACACATATTCCAAAAGAATGCATTAAATATCCTAGCACATAGTTAAGAAAGCTACTCGGTGGAAAGAGAACAGAATCGGATTTTATAGGAATTTCACGGCAAACTAGAATCATATCTATTGAGAAACTGAAGTAAAAACTACAAAAGTTGATTGCTTGAAGTATAAACTTACTGTATAACGTGCTGACATTCTATTCCCCTTTCTGAAGACATGATGAGCAGAATTTTTTCAACATAATGGGATCGATGTATGTTTTCATGATATTCACCGGAATAAGCAATTGTTCATCTGTTCTTCCATTCATAGCTACTCAGAGGACAATTGTCTACCGCGAAAGATTTGCCAGAATGTACTCCTCATGGGCATATTCATTGGCACAGGTACAACAATTGATAAAAAGCCTTCTAAGCATTTACAAGAACTATGAGATCTTTGAAGGTCACATATCTTAGTATAAATTTGCTCCTTCATATTTGCAGGTGATTATTGAGATTCCATATATCTTTCTTGAAGCAGTATTATTCCTGACAATCACATATCCGGCTGTAAACTTCTATGTATCAGCTTACAAAGTATTTTGGTACTTCTACACCATGTTTTGTACACTGCTCTATTACAAATATTTAGGCATGATGCTGGTTTCTTTGACTCCAACTTACCAAGTGGCTACAATATTTGCTAGCCTCTGTTACACATTGATGAGCTTATTCTCAGGGTTCCTCATACCAGGACCGGTAAGCAAATTCTATCTTATCTTGCTGAGGAAACCCAATTTCAACTCATAATTTTTACAATTCCCAATAAAATAAATCGGTTAGGCACCTGTAAAAAGTAAATTGCAGAATGATTAGATTAACAATAAGGAGAACATTCTTCAGCTTAAATACTTTATAAACTAAATCGATGCTTCATATGCATTACAGCAACCATCAATACTTCACTCATTTTTAATGATAACTTAAGTAACCCATATCTGCTAATTTTTACGTGCAGCAATTCCCTAAATGGTGGGTTTGGGGCTACTGGATTTGCCCAACTTCGTGGTCCCTGAAAGGTCTGCTGACTTCACAATATGGAGATATAAAGGAAACAATCATAGCATTTGGAGAGCAAAAAGCACTAAATGCCTTCTTGGACAGCCAGTATGGGTATAAACATCAAGATTTACCTATCATAGCCATTGTACTGCTTGCTTTCCCACTTGTCTTTGCATCTGTTTTTACATATGGTATAGCTAAACTAAACTATCAAAGAAGATAAAAACATGCTTCTGCTTGAGTTTCAACCTCTCAGGCAAGCTTCTGTAAAATGTAAATTTATTTTGCCAATTAATTGAATATATATCCCTATAATCAGTTTCTGCAACCCTAGCAAACAATTCTATCCTCTATATATCTTAACTGTTAGTCTAATGAAGACTATATCTGCCGTTGAGCACTTGTCAAAGTCAATGTCATCCTAATCTGTTTAATTATAGTTTATGTTATAATTTTTCATCTTCCTTCTAAAATTTGTCATAAAAACCAGAGAGAACGCACTAAAAATACCAAAATTATGCAACTGAAATACGTTTAATCAATCATAAGGGGCATTGCCATTGCCATTGCCCCATTTTAACGAACAGTTAAAAGGGCATAAATTATTTTACTGCAATTTAACGGGAAACAGTTTTAAAAAAGAAAAAAATTTTGAGTGAAAAAAGCTCACAGAAGAGGAGGCTTTATCTTCACGTGAATTATCTTTCTGGCAATTGGTGGGTCATTCTTCACAAATTAGCTCTGCTGCATTTGTCTCTGAAAAAGAGATCTTTCTCTCTACATGTTAGAACTTGGAGCGGACATTGCCGGACTTTGTTGGGGACCCTGGCCTTTGGCTTCTACTTTTAATGCACTTTGTTTTGTACACAATTAGCAAAACATTCACAGAAGTCGCCTGGAGCAAAATGTCGACCATCCATAAGACTAACCTCATCTATCTTCCCATTTGCTAACAATGATCAATGAGTGCTGCTGAAAACCCCTTTGAGTTTTTACCCAGAGGAAAACATAAAACTGAACCGTTGGTTAGGTATTTTCTTCCCATCCTGGATCAGTTAGTCTGTACTACATCGTTGAAAAGAGCAAAAGATCACAAAAATTAAAAGAAAGGGAGTAATCATCCTCCTCCAGAAATTGCTTTCTGCCGCAGAAACACAGTTTAATTATTATGATAAGATAAAATAATGGTTACAGTGCTACCTCTCCCGCTATCAATGTCAAAGACGGGAACCTTAGACCCCAGAGAGAGACCTATGCATGTGTTATTATGTTAACACCCTGATAACATTACATTGATGACTGAACAACAAATAAATATATATCAACAATATTACTGAGTTCCAAACTCAGTCGAAAACAATGGTGTGATACACCAAATCTCAACTTCATAGTCCATTACAAACGGATTACAAATAGAAACCACCTATTAAACATTACCGACGTAGGAAGAGTTGCTGGACTTCAGCTTGTTCCGTAGTCCAACAATTCCCATCTGAAGGGACGGAACACGTACAGAACTTCGGGATAGCTCTTAAATAGAAGAGCAACACAGACGCATACTGCAGCAATTGCTACCATTGAGAGCATTGCAGGCCTGTAAACCAATGACTTGCTGGTTGTTCCATAGCCAGAAGCCAGCTTCTGATCACAAAGCTTGCAATGTTGCTTCATGGATCTCAGTTCAAGCTGGCCAATCTCAAAGCTGGAAGTTGACTTGTTGTTTTGCTTCTGATTTGTGCTGCAGTCAGAGAAGGCACCGGGAATGTCAACCACCACATGCCCAGAAGGAGGTCTCTTATTAATTTTTTTCTGTACCAGGTGGATGTATGAGTAGTGGCCGCGTAAGCGAGCATAATCTTCAGGTGTAGAGCCAGTGCTGTCTCGAGCACTCTTCCAAGCATCAATGCCAACCTGAATGAAAAATACACAATATTTTTTCAAATGAAATTTAACCCCAAAAAAAGAGAGAAAGGAATAGAACTATGTTCAGATTTAAACACTTTCAGTCTTAATTTCAGAGGACATTTCAAAGCAAAGAACTCATGTTCAAATCCTTTTAGAAGAGTTGGGGGAGTGCATTGGGCAGTTTATCGCAAAAGTGTACTCGTTGGATGGGCAAAAGTATACTCCTCGGATGGGTAAGTCCTAGCAATTTTGAATCAAGCAATTGCATTCATGGCAGGCAGTCTTGCACTTTTCAGCCCAAACTTAGAGATAGACTATGGCAGACAAAATCCAGATTGAACGAGGTACAAAGGAATGCATTTCAAAATATCACCAAAATTCATGCTAGAGAATGGAAACAAAAATTACTGTAGTTCCCTTCCTGGCATGCTCAGAAATACATCAATACAAGGGATTACCTTTCCAGGATCATCGGTTAATGCATCCAGCACATCCTCAGAACCATCTTTACCAGCAGCAATGTGAAGAGGAGTCAAACCTGCAGGGCCGAGGGCATCAGGTTTAAACAAGAAGCTTTTATGAATACCACCAGCTACTGTTTCATTTTCAAATCCTAGTCTATCTGAAGCTTTGTCAGGGACAAATCTTAAAAGGAGCTCCACTAGAGGTCTACAATTTTTCCTAACAGCTCTGTGAAGAAGACCCATCTCTGTTAATGCAAGGTTAAGGGAAGGCTGCTCCCCTGAATCCACTATTCCATCAAGAAGAATATTTAAGAGTTTCTTCACTACGGCACACCATTCATGGTCCATAGAGAACTCCACAAGCCACTTGAACCGCCTTAGAGAAAAGGGTTCTAGGTTAGGATCCAACTGGCCCAATCTAGACTTCAATTGACTTCTATGAAGAAGCCAACCAACTTCATGAATGAAGGCCATTGCTTGATTTTTGGCTTCCATTTTTCCGGTTCTGCCAACATCTGCATCAGTGTCAATAATCTCCAGTACATTCTCAAGCATACGGATCTCTGAACAAACATCATCCTCAGCAACTATAAAAGGGTAGAAACTGCTATTAAAACCATGGTCTTCAATCTGGAGAAGATCAAGGGAATGTCAACTTCAGCTAAAGAAAGGCATATTCAAAATAAATTATATAAGATGCATCTTTTATTAACATGCATGCTTGGAAAAGAAAAAGTAAAAGAAGCAAAGACATATTACAGTAGATTCTATTTATTTCCTACTCCATGAAAAGAACATAGTGACTGGAAAATAAAATGAAACTGGAAAACCAGAAAGAGTCATGCTTCTACATCTTTCTCTACAATTTTACTTTAAACACAATAATACCAGAGCCAGCCATGAAGTTATAAAAGCTATGGAAGCAAACCAGCATCTTCTAGGATCCTCTATAAATACTTTCAAGGATTTATATAAAGTTCACACCATTCGTCTCAAATATTCATCATTCTAGGACCTTCCTCTTTCCTCCTCCCACCCTCACTTCCCAAAATAAGATGGAATTTCATGTAAAGAATTACAACAGTCCACCTCAAAGAAGTACTAAAGTTAACACCAAACTTGGACATATTTACACTAAACCTATTATCCACAATCTACATTGTAAACTCTCCCTCCATTGAAAGGAACTTTACTAGAATTCACATATAATCCGTGTCAAAGATAACAGCAAGGGATGAGGGGGAGCAACAGGATCAATTATAAGAAGTAGAAGAAAAGACCACCTCAATGAATCCTCTTCCAGTCACAGTAGGGATAGAGCAAGAAAAGTCGACACACTGAAGCTCATCTTGCTCCTTGAAGTCATCATTGTCATCCATCAACTCACTAGTAGCTGCCTGTACCAGATACTTCCCTTCTACTGCACAGAGCAACCTAGGATAGGAAATCCAAGAATATAAAAAGCTCTAGAGCAACCATAGAAATCCAATACAAGACATACAATACGTAAAACTAAATCTAATTTTATATACACTCCTAAGGATCAATTCAATCCAAGAATATCAAAGGCAATAAAGCAACCATAGAAATCCAATACAAAACATACAATACAGTATAACTAAATCTAATTTTATATACACTCCTAAGGATCAATTCAAGCCATTGAGGATTAAAATGACACAATAAATATTGACTCCAAGAAGAGAGTAAAGAATACCTTATGGCTGGCTGAGACAGATTGATACCTTTAACTGAAAATTGAGCTCTCTCAGATGCAGATATTGCAATTGGTTTGACGCTTATAATTTCACTATAATGGTTGCTTCTGAGATGTAAAGATGTATCTATGACAACCTGACCTGCAGCATAAAAATAAAATGGTCAGAAAATTCATCCTGCATACAAAAGTGCTTTTGCTAGCCAATTATTTGGTCATATCAATTAAAGAAATACCAATAAAGATAAAGATAAAGACCAAACAAACCATTATAAACGAATGCTATTTGATCTTGCACCCCTATACAAATCCATCCAGTACTCCAGAAAGTGTCATCTGAAGAATCCAGAAGCCGACTCAAACTGAAACTCAGATCACCACGAAGCTGACAAAAAGATGATAAAGGGTTAAAATTATGAAGAAATTAATATAATTTAAAAGCAAAGAAGATAAAAATCATAGCTTCATGCAAACAAGCTTACTTCATCCCATGCAGCCTCAGCTTGACGAAGATAAATTGTCAGAACAATGCAACCAGGCCTAATATAGCTCTCAATGTCAGTGGGACTATGAGATAGCCAATCAAGAATCTGGAAGTTCAAACATTTTACATAAGTATACTTTCTGAGGAAGCAAACCCCAAAGTACAGTCACATTCAAAAACTTTAAGTACCTGTGCTCGCAAGACCAGAGGAAAATCATTTGGTTCTTTCCCAAATAATTTAAACACAATCCTATCTGTACGGCTCTGCAATGATCAAAGTCAAAAACAAATCATCAGAGGTTAAACTTTTAATAACATATAATTTTATGACGCTACGCATATTACTTAACAGAGGAGATCGATCATCAAAATATTCAGTCTTAATTGCTTGTCATGAGACAAAAGATAAACTCCCTGCCTAAGTTATATTCATCAGAAACTGTCTAGAATTCTTTGAAGTAACTAGTTGAGGTTAGCATAATCATGCTAAAGTTAGCCATGCATGATAACTTAATGAGAGCATAACCTGGCTCATTCTACACCTTCCCCAGTTGTTCATGGATTGAGGTTCAGAGATGAGACTTGACTGCTTAACTATTAACACTCCTAGAACATGAACTTGGGGAAAATTTGAAACTCCTCCATAAAATCAAGACATCTAGCAGATGTCCTATACCTCAGAGTAGTACTCACGGAATTTTAGTCAACAAATGGAATGCAATCATGCATATTATGTAACATAGAGATACCTGAGCATCACCACTGGAACTAGAAGGTGATTGGGCAGATGCTGAATCTGAATTCCTACTGGTCTGTGGTGGACTAGACTGATGAGAGTCCTGTTGGACCCAGGAAGGGCAATCAAGAGAGCTAGTCCCTGCATTCAAAGGTGCAGGTGACCTTTCTATGTCATCGGTGCCCTCATCCAAGTCAACATATATGTCATTCAAATCAAAATTATTCATCTTGACTGCTCCAGCTGTATTGCTTTGGACTTTGGCACCCATAGTATCACAAGAACGTACTCCTTTCTGTGGCATCTCTGAGGCAGGTTCAGTGATATGCTGCTTGAAAGGCTGAGGAGGGCCTTGGCCATTCGAAAACAAAGTCGAAACAGCTTCTGAATCTTGAGGTTCCGGCAAAACCCCAGTTATGTTTCTTCCCCCTTGTTCACCATTATGGTTTGCAAGGCTCCTTAGGAGATTAGATAGCACATCCTGATCTGTGGTTTGGTCAGATCCGTTAGCTGTAATTTAAGAAAAACAGAATCATTCACCCCGTGTAATGAAAAAGCAAATACAAAATATTCCAGGCAAAAGTATGATAGCTATAATCATGCTACTATCGAAGTATGATGCCAGCTTTTTTATGTCTAACTTCAAAGTTCACCTAAAACATAGATTTCACAGAAAGTGCATGATAAACTAGCTGAAATTTCCTTTTGCATTGCTTGTTTAAACATAGCCATCAAATCATCTTACGTCTCCAAAAAAATTAGGGCAAATGATTGTGAAGTATGAAAACCAATTGCGAATTGAGCCCCATTGTTCAGAGAAAAAATGAAAGGTTATAATCAAAAGACATAAACCAACTAGTATTGGTAGCATGGGAAAGCCATTGAGTTACTTACAATGCATGCCAGAAAGTATCCTCAAAAGACGTAACAATAGATAACCACTAGTCTGCTCATCATTCACTGAATTGCCATTGACAATAGTATCAGGATTTGTTTTCCTCCTCCTTTTATTGTGGCCAGCCAAACGTCGGCGACAGCTTCTCTTACCTTCATCAAACTCTTGAAGGACATGAAACCTACCAAAAACCAAACATCATGTCATCCAACAATATGATTTTCAGCTTGAAATACATAAAATCTTCAAGACTTCTATCAGAATTTATACAAATTAAATTAGCCTCTCATTTCAGCAAAGTGCTGCAAATCATAAATGCTTACCTACTACACTGCTGACAAAATCGCTGCATGACATTTCCAACCAGAGCCTTACTTGCCTTGGAATGCATCTCACAAACCTTATGCCGTCTATGATAGTCCTTGGAATTGCTCAGATCAGCCCCACAGTCCTCAACCTGACAAACTGCACACTTTCCAGAACCTCCGCTCAACTTAGTCTTCTTCCCGCTGGTTCCCTCCCAATTTCTCATCTCCCTTTGGCTGATTGGATTACCATGACCACCTTGGCCCCCAAGCTTCAAAGTAAGGCTACTTGCTTCTTCATTCAGACTGTCATCTTCAACCACAATAACCCTCCTCTTCTTTTCCAATTCCCTTTTCCCCTTTTCAGTTTCCGGATTCGCTTCATCAGAGTATGACGATGAGCTATTGGACGAATTCCCAGGAATCCCAGACGCCAGTGGAAAAAACTGCCTTCCCATGCTATCAGCAGACACCGGATTTATGGAGCTAGCAATGAAAAGGTCACCATCCCATTTCCAACCATTTAAATCCCACTCCAACGTCCTTTTCCCTACTGCCCGCAAATCCGCCCGATTCATACCATAAAAATGATGAGCTTCACTTCCAAATCTAGCCTCCATTTATCAAAACGCAGATAACCAGAAGATCTAAACCCAGCAATTTAACTTCAAAAAGGACAATTTAACAACAAAAACCAAAACTTTAACCCTATTCCAACTACAGATCAGAGCTCCTAAACCCCCAAATAGAAAAACTATACTATTAATTACAACTAATCAGCTTCAGTTCTTCCCCAAAAGTCCAAAAAGAGCACCCCAACACATCCATGATTCCAATTAAGAGCAACCCACATACCAAATCAACTTACAAAAAAGAGCCCAATTGTCAGTTAACCTAAATTCAAAGCACTGAATTTTTTTTTCAAATCTCAGAACAACACACCCATATAAAAGCAGAAAATTAACTAAATTTTAAACAAGCAGAAAGAGTGAAAGGTAAAGATTAGCAGACTTAATGGTTACTTGCGCAGATGACAGACGGCGTAAGGAATAGGGAAAGTGATTGCCGGAAAGTGATCGGAAGTTAAGACTAGTTGCAAAAGGTTTTCTCAGACGATGATGAATGGGGAATGATGAATGATGATGGTGACGACGATAGGAACGAGTTTGTTTTTTGTGGGAAAGTGTTTGGGTAATTGTTCGGTGTGGTATGGTACACAAAAAATCATAAATTTATTAATTATTGATTTTAAGACATCAAATTGATTAAAAAAAAAAAAGAAAAAGGAAATGCCCTTTTAATTTTACTTGTTTGACGAAATGCGTAAAAGAGAAAGGGAAAGGAGAGAGAAAGAAAGAGAGGGAAGGAAAGGAAACGTTCCAACCCTTGAACAAAATGGCGGGACCACTTGCACACCGCGTGTCTCACACACCCTTGGCTCTCGATAATATAATCATATTAAAAATAGTAGCCCACCCCACCTCCTGCCTTTTCTTTTCTATAACTTCTACCCGTCTCAGCGAAGTTTCTTCCGGTGCTTCACGCAATTTGGCAAGTCGATGCGGTGAACCTGTACGAAAAAGTCGAAAAGTAGAGTAGTATTTCGCTGCGACCGAAACTATAATAGGATCCGATTTAAAGCTGACGCGATGGAGAAATCACAACCCTTTATCTTTCCCTGTCGTTCCTGTATCTGACTCCTTCCATTTCTATCGGATTACTGGCGTACAGGATCACTAGATTCTCTAAGTAAGTCAATCTTTAGATTTGAGTGAAAAGAAAGTTTATGCGCGTTATGAATTTTTTACCGAGTAAATCGTAACTTAAAATTTAAAAATAATTGCAATTTTTAAAGACTGTTTTAAATTAATTGAATTAAATTTTATATTTTTATTAATAGTTATTAATGATAAAATTTATTTTTTAAAATACATACAAATATAGTAATTGTAATGCGTAATAAATTATCGCAAGACTTTGCCACTTGTTGGTTATTGAAAGTTGACCCTCCTATCATCAATACACCAACACCATGATTATTGTGTTCCTTTTACAATCATTGGTAGATTGTTTGCATTGACCATCACATTTTGCAAATTTAATATTTTATTGTTCATAACGGTGAATATAAGAAACTATTTGTGATGTAAACAAAGTAATCATTTAAATGAATACAAACAGTAGAATATTGTATATGTTAGCTTTATTAAGTTTAAATAGTAATCAATTTACATACATATATATAAAGCTAAAAGTTTAGTCAATTTTTCATATAATTTGTAACATTCAAAATATATAATTTAGCAACAAATAAAAAATTAATTATGTTACACTTTAGTGAATTGGTAAACAATTAAAATTTAATCAATATAATTATTTTTTTATCATCCGAATAATCAAGTCATTTACCTGACTCGTTTATTATCAAATGAAGGATTTGTTCAAAGTTTGGCTAATATTAAATAAAATAATTATTTTGAAATTGATTATTTAATATTTAATTTATTTAAAATCATAAAATGTGATATACATTTGATTAAAATTATTAAATATAACTAATAATTATTCACATAAATTATTTTCAAACTTCATACAAACATCTCATCAATTATTAATTATATCGATCAGATCATTATTACTTAGTTTGAGACATAAAATAATTAAAAAATCAAATACATAAAAAAATTAAGTCGAAGAAAATACCTAATTAAACTACACACACTCTTTGAGCTTCATCTAATGAAGCTTCTTACACACATGGCATCATATGCATCTTCCTTATTTGCATTTTTACCTAACCTCAAATAAAATATTAACTTAAATATCAAAACACACCTTAGAATAACAACTTTGATGTCTCATAATTGTGTTATTTAATTATATATTACAACTATCATTTCCTTTCACCTCACTCCTTTTTTTTAGTTGGGACACCCAAAAATATCATCAATAAATTATAATCAAATTTATTAATTTTTGATAAAAATCTTTTCATTTGATAGTTAAAAATAAATATTTTCATAGTGTGTAATTATCTTGTGATTTAATTATAAGAGTATAATATAAATATTTTAATTAAAGAGGTAAGACTGTTTCCGTAAAAGAGTCATTCCCATGATCCAAAATAATTATATCTAGTATTATGGAGAGTGGATAGTATAACTATTTTGTCTTTGGAAAAAAGAAATATTCTATTATGTATGGAAACTTCGCCCCCCCCCCCCAAAAAAAAAAAAAAGTGATTAATGAATTAGAGGGATGATTCAGTGCATCTGCATTCAATGATGTTCGAGAGCGAACAGAACTGTCGGATCAATCAAGAAGCCCATTTGCATTGACTTTGACCTTCACCGAAAGCAAGAAATAGGTTTGCGGAATGGTCACAAGGTCAAAATCAAGGAGTCTGCAGGTGATCAGGTAATCAAGTGTGGCTAAGTCTTCGGGCCGCAGCCGAAGTCTTGTCGGGATCCGCCATCTGCCACGTAAGTCGTCCGCGATGGGCAACTTGGATACCTGTTGGCAAAACAGAAAGGGCCAAGATAATCTCATAATTTTGAGGTGGATTGTAACAGTTATAATTATTATATTATATTAATAATTATAATTTAAAATTATTTAAATATTTTATATACACCATTATAAGTTGTAAATTTTTTATATATTCTTATTATAGTTAAATAATTATATGATTATAGTAAAAAATTATAAGTGGAATTCATTCAAATTAACAAAATATTTTCGTTGGTATTTGGTAAATTAAACAAACTTATTTAAATAAAGTATTACCTGAATTATAGTGTGAACTGTGAAGGCCAATAGATAAAGAAGCTTGGGTCTTTCTATTGGTTGGGTTATGGCTTGTTGGTGGGCACATGAGCCCACGAATCCACCGAGGGGTGCAAATCTTTCGCCATTTCCTCACCAACCTGTCTGTTTTGTTATGTCTACAACCAGTTTAAACACCCACATGATGACCAGCACCCTCAAATCTAACCTTAACCATGCGTATATATTCTCTGCTTAACACACTTCTAGCTCCCTGCAAAAGAATCTCCAGACCAAAGGAATAAAATCAATACTGAAAGAACAATTAAAGAACAATAAACCTTGTTTTGTATCTAAACCAAGAATTAATACTCAAATCACATTTTTATTACATTATTTTATTTTTAATAATTTAAAAATCATATATGATAGTAGTGATCTAAAGGGTGAAAAAGTTTTATTATCATGCAAAATTAAATTTTAATAGTATTTTTTTTTATTAATTTACTTTGATAAAAAATTTAAAAACATTACCTTAATAAGCTGGTCAATGAAAATTTTTAAAAGTCAATTTTTCTAATCACTTATTTTTAAAAGAAGGTGTTTTTATTATAATTAAATAAATGTTTATTGATTAAAAAATACTGAATATATTTAATAATTTAATCAAAATTGACTTATATTTATAATTTTTTATAAAAATAATATTTTAACTATTTTATAAATTATTAATTCAATAAATATTTAATTTTTGCTTTCCTTTTTGTATAACTAATTTAAATATTTTATGTTTTATAATTTATTTTTCATATAATATCAAATACAATAATTTAAAATTAATAATATTTAATAATATTACATAAAATGATAATTTAATATTACTGATGATCAAATAACTTTGATGATTTTATCATTATAGTGATTAGACCATTATAATAATTTTAAAAACAACATCAATCATTATCTTAATGTAACTTTTTTTTTTTAACAATACATATTTATCACGTCGAATTAAGTCAACAAATGAAATGAATATATAACAACAGAAGAAAAAGTTAGAATAGAATATGAAATGCTATTTGCATAAAAAAAAAGGTGGCGGCCACAACATTCAATTTGGCATTAATATAAGGCATATAACTTTGGTGGATGGTTGATTCACGTGAAAGAAAAGCTAAAGGGGAAAATGGGTAGGGCATAAATAATAGTAAATGATAAAAGTTGAAAAGAGATGATAGAGACATTCTTATATAAACCAAGATATCACGTAAAAGAAAAAAAAAAGATTATTCTATTTTCAAATTTATGGTAAATATCAGAAGATTAAATTTAAAAAATATTTAAAATTAATATAAAATAGTTTTAAATATTTTAATAAAATAAATCAATATTCCGAAATTTTGTTTAAAATTTATCGTCAAAAATTGACCAAGTATTGCTACCAAAACACAATTTGTATCTTACCAATTTTTAAAGATTTTTCATTTTTTCTATCTTTCCGGAAACTCGTTTTCTTTATTTATTTATTTTTCATAATAAAATAATTAGGATCCGTTTGGTTTTAAAAAATATTTATTGTTTTAGTTTTTTATTTTTATTTTATAAAAAACTTTTGTTCCTTAGAAACTGTATTTATAAGCGAAAATAAAAGTTATTTTTTAAAAATGTAAAAATAAATAAAAATTTAATAATAATATTATTAATATCATCTAATAATAAATATAATATATATTTATTAATTAATGATATTAAAAATGTTAAAAAATGATAATTTAAAAAATATAAAAAAAATAATATATATCCCTAATTTTTATAATTAAAAATATTTTTTTATTTTCAAATTTCAACTTATTTTCATTTTTATTTTCAATTATCAAACATATTTTCATTCACATTTTTTATTTTTTAAAAAATTAAAAATAAAAAATAATTTATTTTCTGAAATCAAACATTACTTTTAATTTTTTTTTTGGGTTTTCATAATTCAATCCGATAAAAGATAGCCACGTAACCTTACCGGTGGGCTTGAATTCCTCCAAGTCCAAGTCCAATCACAACTCACCTGACGCTGGTGGAGTCCAGTCTGGCTAGCTCAGCGTACGACAACAAAAGCAAAGTTAGTAAGAAAAAGGAAATAATAATACAATTAATGTAAAATTAAAAAAAATAAATCCTGTAATAATGCAACCTAAGGGAACTGCCAACAAAGTCAAGATTCCGATTATCTCTTTTATCCTACGCACCCTTCGGTTCTCTTAACCTACACATCTTTCGCCGGCTTCACCGTCGACTCAACTAGTACTCACAGTCTCTTATCGGACTGGACCGAGTATAAGTGCTTGGTCCACTTCATCGGCGCCAAATTCAGGTGATGTTTTGCACTATTTTTTTTTTTTTAAAATTTCTTTGACTTTGTCTTCGTCTTTGATTCTAATACTAGGTTTTAATTAACATGCATGCGGATCAATGTAACTAGTTGCTTTTACGCAATCGTGAAACCGTTTGATTTTAGAAAATTCTGATCAAAGAAATGGTCGTTGAATGTTGAGTTTGACTGTTCTTTTATGCGTTAAATTGTACTTCCCCAAAATTTGACCTTATAAGTTATAATTTTCTTGGTGAATGGTTGATCTGCTTGGTTGAGTGGTTGAACATTTTAAAGAAGATTTAACTTGGAGAACTGTGCGTCGTTGTACACGGAAGAGTTTGTGGAATAGAATTTGTGATCATACGTGGGTTTTATTTAACTTGGAACTGAATTACCGTGCTGGGAAACTTTTAGGTGTGTCATGTCGGTGAAATTGTAGATTTGTGCCATTTTCATTTTACTAACAGTTGCCGCAGCTAAAAAAACTTACCAAGCTTTATGCCAATATCCTTTCATGCATGTGCCATTTCAAAGTTGTGGTTGTGAGCATGAATTCCATGTGATTTCTTTGGATGTTTGCATAAGCCTGGCTGCATTTTGATGATCCAATGAAAGATTTAACTCATCTTGCCTCTCATTTCGTAGGGAATATTATGTGCAAGAATGAAGTGCTGCAATTCCATGAATTTATGAAATTGTTCTCGAATGCATCCCTAGATGGTTTTTTTTGTTTCTTCCCATTCCATGTTTAGTATCTTGAATGTATATGCTTATTATGCAAAAGAAATGAGAGTCTTCTTTGGAGCCTGCTATTTAGATTTAAAGACAAAAAATAGATGGCAAAATATGTTATCTGGTTTAGAATACTAAAGAAATGCCTCACATGGGCAGATGGTAAGACACAATCAAAAGACTTTCAGTTCATTAATATCCTGACCACAAACCAACTTGTGGAAAAACCAGATGCATTTTGCTTCTGCTTTTTTTTTTTTTTCCTGGCAATTACTTTCATCTATCTAACCAAATACTTGTGCTCTGCGTATTTTGCAATTTTGTTGTATCTATTTGCAGCTTCTATAACTGCAATGCTTGTAAAAACTCGGTGCTGGTTAAGCTTTTTTTTCTTTGATTTAACAAAAAAAAGTGAATTATTTTTTGACATGTGTACTTATTCTTATGCTACCTCGAATTTTAGATTTGGGTTTTATAAATTTGAGATAATTCTCAAGGGATTGAACCATGAGTTGCTTTGGCTGTTGTGAAGAGGAAGATATCCACAAAGCTGCTGATAATGGAGGCCAACACATGTTTAAAAATTCAGCAGGTAATCCTGTGGTTGAAATTTACATCAAGGCTGATAACATTGCATCTTTATGAATTTCACTTGGATATTTCTGCATCATCAATACAGTGAATTAGTTGAATGAATCATGATAAGTAGGATGGCGTAGACTCCTTTGGTGGTTATGCCCATATTCATTTAGAATTTAATTATAATTTTTTATTAGTTTTATTTCTGTGCTTTCTGGATATATATATATATATATATCTGCTATTTAATTTCCGACCTAATTTATTTTATTACTTATACTTGTTACATGTTTATTGCAATCTTATCTTTTGCATTTTATGGTTTGCTGTACTGAATCTATTGCTGTAATCTGGGTTGAATTGGCCATTCAGGAAATGATGGAGGTTACCATACATCTGAAACTGCATCAAAGAGTGCTCAAACTGTGAAGGTTCAGCCTATTGAAGTCCCTGCTATTCCAGCAGATGAATTGAAGGAAATCACAGATAACTTTGGTACAGATTCTTTGATTGGAGAAGGTTCATATGGTAGAGTTTATTATGGAGTCCTTAAAAGTGGGCCGGCTGCAGCAATCAAAAAGTTAGATGCCAGCAAGCAACCGGATGATGAGTTTTTGGCCCAGGTTCAATCAACTGCTATAATTCATTGCATTTACCACATCTAGGTATTTGTTTTAGAGTTTCAGATTTATATCCATTGATGCATGGATTTTCAGGTTTCCATGGTATCAAGGTTGAAGCATGAAAACTTTGTACAATTGCTTGGTTACTGTGTTGATGGGAGCTCACGTATACTTGCATATGAGTTTGCATCTAATGGATCGCTGCATGATATTCTCCATGGTATGTGTGATGATGCTTCATTTATTGCTCCAGTTATACAAAAGTTAAAACCCATTGATGAGGGTAATGATGCTTGAAGCAAGGAGCTCTTTTTAGGCGATTATAAAATTTAATTAAAGTTTCTTCCTCTATTGGAAACAAAGTCTCTGGTTTGTAATATTTACTTGTTGTGCTGTTAATATCGCAATGTCATTATTCCTTTAATGCAGGGAGAAAAGGTGTTAAGGGAGCTCAGCCAGGCCCTGTTCTGACATGGGCACAAAGAGTAAAAATTGCCGTAGGAGCTGCTAAAGGGCTTGAGTACTTGCATGAGAAAGCTGATCCTCACATCATTCATCGTGACATTAAGTCCAGCAATGTGCTAATATTTGATGAAGATGTGGCAAAGATTGCAGACTTTGATTTATCTAATCAGGCTCCTGATATGGCAGCCCGTCTGCATTCCACTCGTGTACTTGGAACCTTTGGTTATCATGCTCCTGAGTAAGTAATTTGTGGGTTCTTTTCATACTACCATCTATCATATTTATTTTGTCAAAGATCATTTTTGTTGTTGATAACATGCGACTATGGACGAACTTTGTTGTTGAACTTGTTATGACGTGATGTTTATGAATCAATCACGAATTGCTCTTTGGAAACTAAAGTAGAGTAGTTTTTCATTTGACTACTAATATATTTCAGGGAACAAGCATAAGTTCAATATCCTAAATTTTTCCTTCTATTTAGCTTGATTTGAGAATGAATGTGTTGAACATTGACTGTTCTGTTCTTGTGGTTGGCAGATATGCAATGACTGGGCAATTAAATGCCAAGAGTGATGTATACAGCTTTGGTGTTGTGCTGCTTGAGCTTCTGACTGGGAGAAAACCCGTTGATCATACTTTACCCCGTGGACAACAAAGTCTTGTGACATGGGTACTTTTCTGCTACTTATTTTCCTATATCCAGCTTGTTTTTCCTTGTTAAACTTTTCAGACATGGCTGATTAATGAGAGTTTGGAATTGTGTTAGGCTACACCTAAACTTAGTGAAGACAAGGTTAAGCAATGTGTTGATCAAAGACTAGGAGGAGATTATCCTCCCAAGGCTGTTGCAAAGGTACTAATATGCTTGGTTGCTCCTGGTAATGTTTGTTTTTATTAGCACATTTTCTCTGTTAAGATTTCTCCTTCCCTTGGTTATTGAATTTGATTCTAGATGTCTCTGTTTTTTGAAAATAATTTTTGAGCTTCAAGAAAAAGTGTACCGCATAAGCGGTAAGAAGTAAGGTTAGATTAAAAAATGTTATGTGACAGCACCAAAGAGGTGTTCATGTGTATAAAGAGTGTTTCTTTTTGGATAATTGACATCTCCCAGTAGGAGTGGTAGAGAGTAGCACTAGTAATGATTAGGTTGCCAGTGAGGTAAATCAGAATAAACGAGAACTGGAAAAATAAATTCTTTTGGATGGCCTCTCGAGCTCCTCTCAACAACATTGTTTTAAACCTTGAACATATCTTGGCCTGACTTTCCACGACTGGTGCCCTCACTGAATGTCAATTTCATCCGTGCCTAAAGCATTTTATTGGTTTGATTGTAGATGGCTGCTGTTGCTGCATTGTGTGTGCAATACGAAGCTGATTTTCGGCCAAATATGAGCATTGTTGTGAAAGCTCTTCAGCCCCTGTTAAATACCCGGCCTGGACCTGCCGGTTAAATACCAAGCACATAACTTTATCTCTCACTCTCTCTCTCTCTCTCACACACACACACTCTTCCTTTCTATCTCTATGTGCCCATGTGTGAGGAAGTGTTCACGCATTCAAGCATCCAAAATATATGAAGGGACAATTTTAGAAGGTGATGATAATTTGTTTGAGTTCCATATGCATCCATTATATACTATGTATTCGATTTGTACATAATGTGTGAGGTTTTTTTTTTTTTTTTTTTTTTTTTTCCTCTCTTGCATGTCTGTTCGATGGTCTTCGTATTTAACACCCTTTTTCTAAATTTAATCTTAACCTCTCTTCCTTTCATGAAATGGTTATCTTTTACTTTTTCTTACAAATGGTTATGCACATTTGATTGCTTTGATTACAAGAAATCCCCAATAAACAAAGAAAAGGACTGCTAGATGCTTTAGCCCCCCGTATGCCAGATGGCATGTAGAAACTTCTTTCTTCGGTCCCGTTAAAATCTTAATCCCTAGCTAGCTGATTAGGTGAACAATTGAATTTTTTTTATATTAATAATAATAGTGCTATAAATCATAAAGGACAGAGTGTAGGAATATTATTAGTTGGGATTATTACGCCAATTTGACTTCAACACTTTGAGGGGTGGGTTGGCTAAAATTCATTGCGTGAACAATGGGGGTTAGAAAATTAAATCCATGAAACCACTTGTACTCTATATTACATCGACCGGCCAATAATACCAAAGAAAAAACGCATCGTCTTAACAACTACGAGTACTAATCCAAAACCCCTAACCTCACTCCAGACAAGAACCAATGAAGAATAAGAAAAACAACAAAAAAGAAAACCTCAAAAGAGCAGAGAAAAGCAACAAAGAACCAAAGCCAAATTATTTTAGATGCATTCGTCCGCCTAACTACTTTTATCGTTCTATCTTGCCCAAACGTGGAAGAAGTAACAGGAGCAATCACCAACGCCACCGTCGTCCCCAGCACGGCAGCCCCACCCTATGGTGGAGACGCGACTGAACCTTAGTACGCTGCGGCGAAGACGTCGGTTTGTTTGGACAGAGAGAACTGCCAGGTCCCCAAAAACAGCGACCAAACGCGATCGCGCAGAACATTAGTTCGGCGCTAGTTAAGATGAACAGTCCACCCATGCTCAAAATCCTTCTAGTTTGTCCTCGCTCAATTGGAGAAGAGTTTAAAACAAGCTCTATCGAGTGATTGGCTAATCAAGCTGGCCTAAATGAACCACAAAAGAGCCATGTGCAGCACGGTAGCCAAGCATGTCACCATGATACTTATAATAATAGGTATCCACGCGGTCCTGAACATTAGTCAGGACTCAGGATGGCAACCAATTACAGTTAACGAATCCGAAGACTAAAACAGAAATGGGTACTGGAACAGCAGCTTGACCTGATCAAGAGTGGTTTAGGTATTGAAAGTGGCCCTGACTCCTAAGGTGGTGAACGATGGTAAGAATTGGGCTTGGAGAATTGGGGGTAAGAAACAAACAAGGGTCACCATGGCAAAAAAAAAAAAAAAAAAAGAAAAAACAATTATCAAATATCAAGAAAAATTATTTGCATGTCAACATTTAAACAGCTCAAGGTCAAGGTATAATTGAAATCTGAGTCATACTTATAGCACATCCAATAACATCCAATACAGACTAAGGCTCACATTAATTGAAGCTTTCCACAATTCATACCACATCAAAAGCAGCATAATTTCTAGCTCGGAATCTTAGTCAGGGGAGGAATGGATTGTGAGAAGGACATGCCTCTTTTTGCTTTCTATAAGCCCTGAGAAGACGAAAACACACTATTTAGACCCAAAAATGTACAATCAGCCAAAAAGAATAAACATCCTCATCATGTTGCTAGGTGCTGGCTACCTGGAAGCATTTAATCCCCCAAGTCCAATAGTTCCCAGAACAATAAGCAGGAAAGGAATCTGAATCAAAGCACGATTTCTTCTTCCCCCATGAACATTTGGTACTCCCGTTCTCACAACGTGTGAATATGTAGCTAAAGATGAAAGACAACGTCTGAATAGCAAAACAAAGAAAGAACATATAGTTGCTAATTCTTTTTGAACAAGAAATTACCTGAAACTGAACCTTCTCCTTCTGAACCTGTGATAATCATTACACAGAATTTCAATAGCATGTAAAAATAACCGCTATTGCTATGTTTTTACTTGTCTAATGTACTTATTAAGAAGATGGAAGGATCTCAATCAGGTTTGCAAACTCAATTCTACAAGTTATGATCAAGAATAGTTGCATCCACATCTGAGTGATTAATTTTTAACCAGTTTGCGGTCAGTACACCTATACTTACTAAATCCAATCCCATCTAGTGGAAATCTAGGATTGAGGATACAAGATGAAGATCCTACAAAAGGTAAATTAAAAAAAAAGAAGGCTAAAAGTGGAAAGAGAATGCTACAATATATCAAGTAGAGAATTTTTATCATTGAAATAACACCAATTTAATAAATTAAATCCAAAAAATACCAACACATCAAGTACCATGAAAAGAAAAAGTGGGTTTAGTGAGAATGCAAAGAAGAGAGTACAGTTGTATAAGCTAGATAGTACCAATAGTGGCGATTGATGCAGACACAGATGCACTCTCCCACTAGATCCTTTTATCATTGAAATAACACCAATTTAATAAATTAAATCCAAAAAATACCAACACATCAAGTACTATGAAAAGAAAAAGTGGGTTTAGTGAGAATGCAAAGAAGAGAGTACAGCTGTATAGGCTAGATAGTACCAATTGTAGCGAGTGATGCAGACACAGATGCGCTCTCCCACTAGATCCAATTCCATCTACTGGGAATTTATGATTTAGGATAACAGATGACTAATCTACAAAAACTAAATGAAGAAACGAGCTGCAAAGTTTAAAGAGAATGCTGCGGTATATCAAGCAGAGCAATTACTATCACCAATATATCACAAGTTTTAATAAAATAAATCCAAAAATACCAAACAATCAAGCAATAAAAGATGAAAAATAAAATGGGAAACCATAATGATGCAAAGAAGAGGGTATAAGCTTGACAGTACCAATTGTGGTGATTGATGCAGACAGATGCGCGCACCAACTGAAGAATTGGCATAAAAAGAGAAGTAAAATTGAAAACATGCTGATGATGTATTCATACCTCATAATAATATATGGCACAACAAATTACAATATAAGAATTGGTCTTTGACAACATCAAATTACTTTTTTTCTATCAATATCCAGTTACTGGAAATGAGTATCTCATGGCTTACTCCAAGTTTGATGAGCCACATTGAAGATAAACTAATCTGTCAAACCATCATCAAGAAAATCGAGACCATCATCATCAGTAGTAACACCTCCAGCAGCAGGAATAACATCCAATGGTTCAATCAAACCAGCTAATGTGACTATTTCTGGTCTCTTTTGTTCACTCTCATGTTCATCCATATCATCTCCATAAAATTGTTCCACCTCATTATAAATGATCTCCTAAATCAGGAAAAACGATTCAGGAATAGCATTAAAAATCAGCAATTATTCAAATCAAAATACATAGATATTTCTCAAGACTTAAGTTAACAGAAACAATTTAAATGGAAATAAAAGGTACCTCATCTTCTTGCATAGCTTGCTTCTCTGACTCAACAAACCAGTCATCTAATACACTTTCTAACATGGCACTATCAAAGGAAACCAACTCATCAGGTTTCCTTCCTAGTTGGCGTTCTCTCAGTCGCAAGTTGTAGTGAACATAGGTGTGATCATTCAATCTCTTCCTAGACAAACAGTTGTGTCTTTTGCTGTGAACCTGATCAAATGTACTCCAGGAATGCTCACATCCAACTGATGAACATGTCTGGCTTAGTATGCGTATAGCAATTCGTTGCAGCTCTAAGCAATTTATCCCATGTTGTTGCCACCATGAAGCTAATGATCAATCAGTGATTAGCACAAAATTTCAATAAACATGAAATTTGCACCGAAATATTGAAAAAAGAAATTGAATTTATCTAATACAAGTTCTTGAGCAAACAGGGCTGTGTATAAATCCTGGTTGAATCACCTGGATCAAGCTCGCTTCTAGTACTTATGGCCAAATCAGTTCCAAAATCAGCTTTTGCCGACACAAAATCAGGTATCTGATAAAATGACATCAAAGTGTCACCAGAAAAAAAAAATCCATAGTCAGATAACAGGGCCAGTTGGCTGCTTTCACAGCCACTAATGCAGCTCCATGGATAATTTGATCTTGAAAACACAGGAAGCAACCAAATCACTTGTAATAAGTCATCTGATTATCACATTAGATGTAAAATGTAACAGAAATGAGAAACCATTACCTGCATGGATGCAGAAACCCTTTTCCCATGGTCTGCCTCCAATCGAACAATACACTCATTTAGACCACGAATTACTTCAGGATTCTTCAATAACAAAAAAAAAAGTAGAAATTAAGAATGGAAGAAACAGGCAATCAGGAAAAGATAAGGGTCAAGTCACTGTATTTGTAATTTTGTACCATCGAAAAATCCGGGAGGTACCGATAGGATGGATTGAGAAAGTATGCAGCAACATGAAGAGGATGATGGAACAATGAACTCCAATTAGTGTCAATCACACTCCAGAAAGGTCCGTATTTACGCACATCATCACCATGAATGGCTTTAATTGCCAGCTTTGTTCTACACATGTCATTATATATAAATGGCATTGATCGGATTTCGTCACTACCTATCTTTTGAAGAACTTCTGCCACTGGTTCTAAGGATTTCTTCACATACTGCATTTTCTTCCAAAATGTGACATTTAGTACAATTTTTTCAACCTCTCTACCTTCATATAATTTGGAAAAACGGGATGAAAGCCATCTATTTGATTGGAACATTCTCTTAAGACCAACTTTTTGGTCCAACAAATTCTGTAAAGTAAAAAAATTAGTGCCAAACTTTGTGACAGCTGGCTTAAGAAGTTCCTGTCCCTTCGTAAATTCTTTCTTCATAAAATTCAACAACCAGGTATTGTTATAAATAAACCTTGTCACCTTTTTTGCTTTATCTATGCATTCCCCCACCCATTTTATATTCACAAAATCCTCAAGCATTTTATCAATGCAATAGACAGCACATGGCATCCAAAATAAGTTTCTCCTCTTCTCTTCAAGCATCTTTCCAGCACTCCTGAAACTCGAAGTGTTCCTAGTGATCACCTGCAATGAAAGATGTGAGGGAAACAGCTCAGCAGTAGGCACATTCACACAGATATAAAAGTAGATTTCAAAAAGAAACAAAAGTAAAGTTATATAACCTGCACTACATATTCCTCGCCGACCTCATCCACTGCTTTGTCTAACAACTTGAAAAGATTAGCTGCATCATCTATCATATCAGTTGCATCAACAGAAGAGAGAAAATAAACACCACGAGAGCAAGAGACCAAAAAGTTAATCAGTGTCCTCCCCTGTGCATCATTCCAACTGTCAGCCATGACAGAACAACCAGTAATTGCCCAAGATGCCTTAAACTCCGCTAAATATTCCTTAATATTAGCAATCTCCTCCTGAAGGAAACGACCGGATATCAGTCGACTTGAAGGACCTTGCAAACCTTGCCCGTATTGACCAACCAGTTCCAACATTTTATGGAAATATGGAGAGTTTGCTGCATTAGAAGGGATTCCTGCATGATAAAAGAATTTGCAGATGGCAGATATCACTTCCCTGCGAGTTTTCTTCTCAAACCCTATCTTTGCTCTTGTTTGTTTGTAGTGCCCTGATGTCTGGCTCTTCAGTGACTTTAAAAATACCGAATCCAGTCTTGATCTTTTAAGTAGTGGTGGAGCACCATTACCACTACTACTGGGAGATCTACCTCTGATATTATTTCCAATGTCATTATCAGAAACTTTATCCTCAATAGCCAGTATATCCTTACTCATACATTGCAAATACCCGTCCTCCTCTCCACCTTCATCCTCATTATCTGAGTGCAAGTAGAAAGTGGATATCTCCTTGGTATCAGGTTTTCTATGCTTTCTACCAGTTCGGTGCCATTTCATATTTTCTTTGATTTTGAGATATACCTCCTCAGGCGCCTTTTCACAATATGCAACTTCTCCGGGGATCCTAGCAAGATGTTGTTTAAACCGATTTATGCCCCCACTTATTATTTTTTCACAATAGTTGCATTTTACTCTTTTCTTCTTCTCGTCTTGAGCAACACAATGCTCCCATCCCGGGTCCACATATCCTAATGATCGAAGAGGGGTAAACTTGATAACCAAGTTCTTGTCACCCATCACTTTCTTGCCCTTGTGTTTATAACCTGCGGATGATTCTTCTACATCATTGTACTCATTAGACTGGAATTTTAGAGCAGCCTGTTCATATTCTGATTGCCTTCGTTTTCGAACAGAACGGGATCCTTCCAGATTTTTTCTCATATTCAAGCATACTTCTTCAGGAGCCTTTTCACAGTGAGTAACTTCTCCAGACAATCTGGCTAAATGTTGCTTCAATCTGAATATTCCACCGCTGACTATTTTCCCACAGTAGTTGCATTTAACCTTCTTTTTCCTTTCATCTTGAGCAATCCCATGCTCCCATCCAGGGTCAACATAACCTATGGACCGAAGTGGGGCCATCTCTTCAACCAATTGGTAAGTAGCACAAGAGCAGAAAACTTTATATCACAAGGTTGTTCATGATTAAATTAAAAAATTGAAATAAACAAAAGTGAATAAAAGTTTTTAAAACCAGCACACTAGAATCAAATTTCAACCATACAGTGAATTTCGCCGTTTGGAAAACTGGAAATCCCTCTCCAAATGCAAATCTCCTGTTGAATATCCTTCAAAGATCTAGCTCACTTATTTTTATTCCTCAAACCATTGCACGAGTCCTTAAAGCAAGCCTGAGCTAATTACATAACTTAAATACTATGTGAGTTGGGAACCAAACAAGGCAGGCAATGCAAAAAGAAACTAAAAAAAATATCCCTCAGAAACATCAACAGATATAAATAAATCAATCAAAGTCGTTTTGACAGCCAGAAGAGACATCATAAAGTGGAAAGAAGGTAAATCTACTGCTTCCTAAGTGTGGAAAGAAGGTAAATCTACTGCTTCCTAAGTTTAGACAACAAGTTATTACGTCTTCACCAAATGTGCTACCTTTGGAGAATGTTAAACAAGAGACTTCTTCCCATGTGAGACTTTATAGCCTATTCAAGAGTTTGCAAACCATGATTTCTTGGAATAATCTTCAAATTTTCTCAAAAGTATATGTAGATGGGAGAATTACCAGACCGTAGGCAAGCGTAAGCTTCTGCAATCTGCGGAAAATATACATCTAGAGGTTAGATTTCTCACATCCATAAATGCAACAGAGTTATTATTTAAATTGCAGAATACATGATTAAAATTATTCACACTATTATCTCATTTTAATGTTCCTGGAAGAAGGAAAACTTTTATTTTCAGGTACAGCACACGAACTAAACTAAGTGAAAAGACTGAATCTTTATACTGCATTGGTTACTTGTGTTCACAGGTATGTTGACTCTTGTCAATAATGGTGACCTCTATAAGACATACAATAATTTTAGACAGTAAATGGCTCAAAAAGACCATTCAAGGAACAAAGTTCCCACTTAGCTTCTACATAAAAAAAAAAAAAAGCATTAAAATACTGTTGCCACTCTAGAGTGAGATAAGTTTCTTTGATAGTAAGGAAACTAAGTCCAATTAAAACTACTAGTTAAGAAGATTAACCCTAGCCTTTACCAGGTGAATTTTAGTTTATCTCCCAAATCCATGGTCAGACTCTGACGGGTCAAGCAGTTATAAATCCAAAAAACTTATGAAAGAATATAATACTAGCAGATCTAATTACTCCCCAAAACATTCTACTAGAAATCATTGCTTGCACCATGAATTTAACCAAAACAAGATACAAATTCCAAAGCAATCCAGCTCCCTCCATGAATTTATAGCAAAATGTAGCAAGAAATAGTCACCAGGCAGTAAATTCTAAGTAGAGTAGAATTACTAACATTCATTAAACTGCTGTAAGCCCTCAAATCACTCCACCTTTAAATTGTAAAAATGCTTTGTTTGTTCAAAACAACCTCTAAAATGCCTAGACTTATTTCAACATGTTTCAACTGTTCCTTTTCAATTCCCTACAAAGGGCGTCGCTAATAAGCTAAAACCAATTCAATAACAAGCAGATTTTAGTTTCACAAACCTAATTCAATATTCAAAGCTGGCACCAACGAATTTGTGCACTCCAATCAAAGCATATAAAAAACAAATATCAAATTTTTAAAGGCATATCGATGCTTACCAACTTGAACTTTGACTCGGCCGAAAGCTTTTCGTGAACTGGAAACAAGTCAGGATGCGACTCCCATACTTTCTTTCTATAAGCTGCTTTAACCTAACCGAATCAGAATTCCCAGTCAAAATTTTAAAAAATTTACAAATTCATGAACTAAACAAGAAAAAAAAAAGAAAAATCGAGTAAATTTGTTAGTCTAACTGATTGAAAGCAAGCAACCAAAGCTACAATCTCCAAAAGCAAAACAACTCAAATTCATAAATTTCAATATAAGCCAACGACAAAAAGAAATAAAATAAAAACCCTAAGAAAAATCAAGATTTAAGAGGGAAATAAATAGGTGAAAATGGAATTATCAAAAAAAAAAAAACGAAAAAACAAAAGAAGAAAACCTGAGAAGGGGTAGGGCGAGAATTAGGTGGGAAGCCTAGCAAGAGTCTGGCTTCATCACCCTGCATTTCTGTAAATTGGTGGGACTGAGTCGCTTCATGATTTTATCTTCCTGTGCTTTTAAGTTTTCTTTTTTTTTTTTTAATTTTCTGGTAATATTGGGAAAGTTTTTGGGTGTGAAATGCTCGGATATTTTACAGGTGTTAAATAGCTAACGGACGATCAAGATCCTGATCACTGATGAGACCAATATTTCAATCTGATGTAATTTATATTATACATCAGAAAGTTGGAATCTACTTTTTACTGTCGCTGATGTAAGGGATGGACTAATTGGCATTAAGGTGAGAGGTTTGGGAAGCTTTCTCGTTTCATAGTTAAAATAAATTGCAAGTTTAAGATTTATTGAAATATAAATTAAAAATCAAAAGTTTATTTCAATGCAATAAAAATATATGAGTTATAAAATGAAAAATTTTAAAATTTTTTTGTTATTACAAGACTTTTGAACTATTTTTCTAGTATTGTATTTCAAATTTTTTTTAAATACATTTTTTAAGCTACAATGAATTTTTGGGTTTAATGCAATATATCATCTCCCACAACTAGTTTAAACAGATTTATTTTCTTTTTTGAAATGGATATATATAGTTTTAAAATTTTTCATTGTTTTCTTTGAAAAGTTAATTATTTTCATTGTTAATAAAAAATATAGAAAACTGCAATAAGTTTAAGAATAAATTGTTTTATTTTATTTTTATATATATTTGATGTTAATATTTAATATTATTCATTTTGGTTTATAAATCAAGATTGATTTTTTTTTAATTAGAATCATAATATATATATAATGAGTAGAATTTTTCATCCACTTATATTAATATAAATGTTACTTTCTTAATTTATAAATAAAAATAGTTAAAATTTAAAATATTTATTTTGATATAATTTATAAGATTCAAAATATAACACTTATATTAATGTAACTAAATCTTTATATACATATATATATATATATATTACATACATGAAGACACACACAAACATTATGTATAGAACAAGTTCTCCATCCAATAGAAATCAGTTATCTGAAATTACTATTGATTTTTTTTCTGTTAACTTCAAGAAAAGAGTTTTTCGTTTGCCTACCCCATGTATTTGGGGGTGAAAAAAAAAAAAAGAAAATCGATTTGAAATATAATATTTTATTTTGTTTGGATTAAATTCGAATATTAAATTATATATTAAATTTAAATTGAATTTTAGATTGAAAAATAAAAAATATAAACCAAATCAAATTATATATTCTTATTAGTTTTTATATATTTTTTAAATTTTATAAAATAAAATAATTATTTTATACTTAAATCTATTTAAATATATTAAAAATCATATTAGAATAATATATAAAAACAAAAAAAAAAAAACTACTGAATTGAACCAAATGGAATCAACAGAAATTTGACTTAGTTTAGATAGTATAAAAATTCGAATTCGAATTAAATTTTAAAAATTTATAATTTTATATATTATAAAAAAATTAATTCAAATTTGATTAGATCAAAATCATTATTATTTATATATATAAACAGTACTTATTAATTTGCATAAAGTTAAAGTTGGAATGTTTTATTTAATTTTAAGTTGAAATTTAACATAAGAATAATTTTCTTTATTGTTAATAAACAAAATTCCACTGAATTATATACTTTAAATCGTAATGCTTATAACTCCTCTAGAAATCACTTAAGTATTTCACTTTTCATTTGCATATTTATATATTAATTAATTGGTCAAAATATATATTATTATCATTTTATTGTTATCTATTATTTATAAATAGAGATTCACTTATACTAATATAAGTATTGCATTATTTTTTGACATTTAAATCCATTTATCTAAAAAATATTTATAATTTTAACCATTTTGATCAAAGAATAAAAAAGAAGCAAAACTTATATATATATATATATATATTCATGGTCTACATAGATGACATTTTTTTTACCTTTTCCTTCTTAAATCATTTAATCATAGAGACAAATTAATTAAGTCTCACTCTAATAAAGATATAACTATACTAAAGGAAAAAAATAGTAATATCAAGGTTTCAAAAAAAAAAGAAAGTAAAAGAAGCATAGATCATGCAGAAATTTATCTCAAAATTATACAGTTGAAACTCAGAGACATCCAAACGTTAAAAAAAAAAAACCGAAAATGAGAGACCGAGACAAAACTTCTGTTTTGTCTAAATTTAAAGCTGATCACCGGTCAAAAGCTTTGTCTCAAACCACGAATTCTGACCTATCCATTGGAAAATACGATAAGCCATTCGATTTCAACGTCCATTTCCATGCAAAGAACCCTAATTTTAGACGGTCCCACTTGCTATAAAAAACCCGCATGCATAATCAATTCCATCAAGCAACAAAACAAAGACGAAGAGAAACAGCACTTTCCAATAAAGTCTTTCTCCCGTCGAGTCCCTTCGAGTTGGTTGGGAATCGGATCGTTGTGCTATAGTCCCCATAGCCAGCCGGAGGGAGAGATTATCATTTATTAAAAAAAAAAAGTAAAAAATATTGACTGAAAAAAGAAAAAATTAGCAAAGATGACGGGTAAAGTGATTATTTCGGGGATTTCCATCATTCTTGTGGTGGGAGTAGTCCTAGGCGTTGTTGCTGCAGTTCATCGCAATGGCGATGCTAAGGCCGAATTGTCTCCAAAAATGAAGGCCGTGTCTAACTTCTGTACTTCTACTGATTACCAAGAAGCTTGCCACAAGACCCTCAGCTCTGTCAACAGCACTGATCCCAAAGAGTACGTTGCCCAGGCTATCTTAGCCTCTGAGGAAGCAGTCAAGAAGTTCTTCAACTATTCTGACTCCCTGATCGTTCAGGCCAAGAACGATAGCCGCACGAAGATGGCTTTGGATGATTGTAAGGAGATGATGGACTATGCCGTTCAGTCACTTCAGGCATCATTCTCCGAGGTGGGTGACAGTGAATTGCGCAGCATGAATGAGCGCATAGCGGATCTGAGGACCTGGTTGAGCGCTGTTATCTCATACCAACAGTCATGCTTGGATGGTTTCGAACATGATAACAGCATGAAACAAACGATGACAAATGGTGCTGTTGATGCTAGCGAACTCACAGCCAACGCCTTGGCAATTGTGACAAAGTTGTCGGATATTCTTTCGAAATTTGGTCTCCAGTTGAATATTCCTACCTCACGTAGACTTCTTTCTGTTGAGAAGGATGGCTATCCCTCATGGTTCTCGGCTGCAGACCGCAAGCTTTTGGCTAGGATCGATAACCGCAACTTGAGACCAAATGCTGTTGTGGCTAAGGATGGCAGTGGCCAGTTCAAGACCATTGCTGCAGCCCTAGCTGCCGCTCCCAAGAACTCCAAGGTCCGACATGTGATCTATGTCAAGGCTGGAATCTATGACGAATACATCACCGTCGACAAAGAAACTACCAACGTCCTCATGTACGGTGATGGCCCAAGAAAGACCATTGTCACTGGCCACAAGAACTTCGTTGATGGCACATCCACCTGGCAGACTTCCACTTTCTGTAAGTTTCACAAGTTAATTCATCATATTTCTCCCCAAAATTTTTTTTGATATAATTGCATAATTTTAATGGTGCAGCTGCTATTGGAGATGGGTTCATTGCCAGATCCATGGGATTCCAGAACACTGCTGGTCCTCAAAAGCACCAAGCTGTGGCTCTTCGCATTCAATCCGATAAGTCAGCTTTCTTCAACTGCAGGATGGATGGCTACCAAGACACCTTGTACAATCAAGCGAACCGTCAGTTCTTCCGCAACTGTGTCATCTCTGGAACCATTGACTTCATTTTCGGTGATTCCCCTACTATTATCCAGAACTCATTGATCATTGTCCGGAGGCCCTTGGATAATCAACAGAACACGGTGACTGCACAGGGCAAGGCCAACGCTGATGAGAACACTGGTATCGTTATCCAAAACTGCAGGATTGTCCCTGAGCAGAAGCTCTTCGCCGACAGGTTCAAGATCCCAACATACTTGGGCAGACCATGGAAGCAATTCTCTACAACTGTTGTGATGGAGTCCACCTTGGGAGACTTCATTCAGCCTGCAGGATGGATGCCTTGGGCTGGAAGCAATTTCCTTGACACTCTCTACTATGCTGAGTACAACAACCGTGGCCCTGGTGCTAACACCGCTAGGAGGGTTACCTGGAGGGGTTTCCACAGGATCGACAGGAGGACTGCCATGCGATTCACTGTCCAATCATTCCTTTTAGCCCGCGAGAACTGGGTGCCCTTCACTGGCATTCCTTTCACTGCTGGGTTGAGATATTAAAAAGACATTTGAGTGAGGACAATCAGGACCTGAGAGTCCAAAAAAAATTAAAAAGGAGAGATCAACTGCAAAAGAACCTTATACAAAGAAAACAATTTTATTGTGGTCTCTCAGTATAATATCAAACGGAGGAGCATGTCATCTCAATCATGATTTTCTTTTTGTAAGTTTCTGTTTAGATATTCCTTTCAGGTCTCTTGAGTCCTTGCCTTTGTCTTTTGGTGTTCTACTGTAATTCTTTTATTGATAAAAAAGCTCATTCGTTTAATATATTCCATAATTGAAATTTTAACCTTCAAGTTCTGCAAATGTAGGAATCACTTTTTAAAAATAGAAAAGTAAGTTACTCCCAATTGTATAAAAAATACGATATGCAATTATTATTTTTCGCCAAAATATGCGGTTATTTATGAATGATGTTTTTTTTTTTTTTTTTTTTTTTTGAGAAAAGAGAATTTGAACTTAGCTTTTGAATTAAGAAATATTATTGAGAAATGATAAAATTCTTTGCAAGTGTTAGGTGAGCTTACGGAAATAAATACAGTTTCATTGGGCTTAAGTCTGAATTTTTGGGTCTCTAACTTTTACCCAGTACCCTAGCAGGCCTGGGTAGGCTGCTCCTGGCCCATAACTTCAAAAACTGAAACCAAGCCTTTGCTTCTTGCGGGAACTGGCCTTTTTTGCTACATGGCCTTGAGCCCCAGCCGCTGCCCGCCTAGCAATGCCAGGTTCCAACGCCGGAAATAAGTTGGCAAGAGAGTAGCAATTCTTCCACCGAAAAGTGAAGAAGAAACAGAGCTCAGCAGTTGAGAAGGCAAAAAAACGAAGAAAAGAAATAATAATGAGGAGACTCAATCGGGGGTTTATTCGGTGCATTCATTCATTGAGGCAACTTGAAGTAAATGATAATCCTTATAATTAAAGATCGTTTCTTCTAACCGAAATTGCCAACATTTCTCTTTTTTTTTTTTTTCTCGTTATTATTCCACTGGTGAAGCCTTTTTATGTCTTGGTTTCAGTTTCAGAAAAAAAAAATTTTGCTTTCGATTAATTGAAACAATATTTTCGTAATGGGCAGAGTTGCAACCTCAGCTTTCAACTGACCTTAAAATCATAGAACAAAGATTATCCGCTATTAAGCATAGGAGTGTGTTTCTCGAGAATCTAATAAACCAGGTAATATTTTTTAAATTTCTTTTTTTTTAATGTTTCTAATTAATTGTATTTTGAATTTGTTGGTGTTGATTGAAGACAGCCAGAAGCCTTCCCGGCTGAGTATTCAAAGGCTAACAAAGAGCTTTGAAAACTTAGGGACTCAGTGGACCTTATCACTGAATTGAGAACCAAACAGAAGATATATTTGTATTGTCATTTTCTGCCTTTTACTAATGTTCTGTCTTTCAATTTATTGTCTGAATCGATGAGTGAACTTTTGTCTACCTTGGCTGATGGTATCCGTAGCTTTCCTATCTAAGTCTCTAGTTGAGTTGTTGTGCGTCGATAATATAGTATATACTATGGGTATGTTTATGCGTTATCCTATTGCTTTCTATAGTTGCTATTGTCATGTGATTTTGTCCTACAAAGACGCAATTTTAGGCTTTTCGTTTTTCATTTTACATAGGAGATTGATGGTTTAAGGCCATTGATGGCTGAATAATCCGATGATAAAGACATGCTTGGGATGGCAACTGAGGATCTGGGTCTGGCTTTGTAAGAAGAGAAAGGCAGCGGAACTTGCTGCCCAAGTTGTTACTTCCTAGGGATGATGCTGATGGGAGCAGGTAACAAGTGTAGGTTGAGATGGGCACTTAAATGCGAGTTGTTGTCATTGTTTTTGTTGATTATTTTTTTCATACTTTTTGGCATTGAACTTGCCAAAAAGTTTGATCAGTGACTGATGGGGAGGAGGCTTCTTTGTTTGCAATGGAAGTGTTTGAAATGTAAGTCGTTACTCAGTACACATGGATTGGACTGTCTGTGAATCACCTAATTTTGTTTAGAAACTGGTTATCTGAGAATTGTTTCTTTGCTTGTGTTACAACAGGTATGAGAGGTACTCACAGAAGAAGGGTTGGAATTTTGAAGTGTTAGATATAGCAGAGTCTGATTTGAAAGGATAAAAGGTATGTGTTCCATATTTTATCGAGTGTTTTATCTTATGTCTGATTTTAGATAGTTTCTTTTGTTTGTTTACCTGGTGCATTTGCTAGGGTCTCGTTCTTTCTAAAGTTTTTGGGATTAACATTTGGAGTTTATCTTGTTTCTGCATCATTGAACTTTTACTTCTTGTACTCCTAAGCAGGAAGCTAGTGCAACAATCTCAGGAGCTGGTGTTTATGGGAAACTTAAATTTGAGAGTGGAATTCACAGAGTTCAGGTTTCATTTCTGACTATTTAACATGCAATATAAGGCTTAAAGCATAATTTACATGGAGTTTTCTTTTGGCAGCGTGTTCCTGTGACAGAAGTCTGCACCTATCTGCACCAGTGCTGTATCAGTTGCTATTCTCCCTCAGGCTCATGAGGTACTTAAGGATATGAATTTGTGTTTCATTTGGGGTTTTTTTCGCTTTTTGAAAGATTTTTAGATTTATTTGGTTGGGAGTTTTGTTGAGTGCTCTGACTGCTTATGCTAGTTCACTTTAACCTTAGCGTTGGACATTATAGTATCACAATCTTATGTTCTCTCGTTACTAGTTTTGATTTGATATATCCTTTTTGCCTGCTTTCATTGATGTTCGTGTTGAGGTTTCTGCAGGTAGATGTCCAGTTAAGGAATGAAGATTTGAGAATTGATACTTACAGGTCTGGTGGTTCTGGTGGTCAACATGCCAACACTGCAAACAGTGCAGTTAGAGTCACACATTTGCCCACTGGTATAAACAGTATCTATACAGGATGAATTTTAGTCTGGCATTCTTTTGTCTTAAGATCTTTTGTACTGGACTTCAATTTCCCATATTTTGTGATAGTTATTGCCAAGTCAACTACCTTACTTGTTTGTCCTTAGGGAGACACTTTAACAGTTAGAACTTGAACTTTCAACCCGGCGGTATTTTTAGCCAAAAAATTATCTTGGGATGGGGGAGAGTTATCTCCATGTGTAGTTCAAAGCTCAGTAGGCTTCTACATGTATTTAAAAAAGAAAATAATCTTTTGCGAATATCTTGGTATTTCTGTATTGACATGATTGCATCCATGAGCACAGAAAGTTAGTCTTTGAAACTTGGTGATTACTGATATATGCAAAATATTTGAGGTCTCTTAAGTAAGGTATATATTATATATTAGATAGGGATTTTAACTTGAAACCATTTAAATGTGAATTTGCATGGTTTGCTAAACCATTTTCATCCCTCTCATCATCTTCATATAATAGAACAAAGCCAAAGCACTTAAGGCGTTCCGAGTGAAGCAGTATGAAATAGAGAGGTCTAGAATTCAGATGAGTCGAAACTTAAATCTGAACAGGTGTGGGTTACTATTAGATGAAATGTTAGATTTTTTGTTCTTCATTCCAGATGATTAGATACTGATCACTTTGACATGAACAGATTGGCAGCGGGGATAGATCTGAGCGCATTCGAACCTATAACTTCCCTCAAGGGTGTGTCACCGATCATCGTGTTGGCATCATTTATCATGCAAAAAATGATGTGATGTAGGGAGAGAATCTGGATGTTTTTGTTGATGCTCTTCTTTTGCAACAGGAAATGGATGCAATTACAGCCTTCACTTATGCTCAATGACCTTTTCTAGTGGTCGTAATGTCTCGCCAGTTGCAGATTTTTTTTTTCACTAATCATCATTTTCTAGCATGAAATGGTCATATTTTACGTCGTACTTTTTGTTATCTTGCAATTTGGACCTATAAAATATTCTAATTCTTACTAGTGACGCATATGTTAAGAGACAGGCCATTACACTTCCATGACATATGCAACTGTCTTTCCTTTCATATTAATTTATAAGATATTATCTATTAAATCTCATGATTTTATTTAAAATAAATGTTTTATAAAGTTAAGGTGCTATAAACATTTATATTTTAAGTCAAATTATAGGACTAAGATTAATAGTTCTTCCAAATCATGACACATCACCTGTTGTAAAGACACAATATTTTACAATATTGTGTACACAAATTCTTTAGATTATAGATGCAATCTGACAAAATTGAATAAATTAAACATTGCAAAAAGTTAAATATTTAACTTTTAATTTTGAATGAATTTAACTATCGAATTTATGATGTAAAAATTGTTAGTAATGTTTGAAAATGAAATGTTTAATAGATTTTTATTAAATTTTTGTGAAAAGTAAAAAATATAATTTTATATTTACTTTTAATTAATAAAAGTTAAAGAGAAAAAATAAAAATATCATATTAATATAATTAAATAATATTTTTAGATAAAATTAATTTAATGTATTAAGTAACTTTATAAAATTAATAAAAAGTTACTTAACATTTTAAATAATTTTTATTAATTTTTTTTAATTTTCAATGATTTTAATTAAGTGAATTGAAATTTGTTTTGATGCCCCCACCAGACTTTGGTAAATAACCCTGTCAAAGTGTCCAACAGCCTGGTATTACAAGTATGCAAATTTTTTTTGCCGCAAAAACTGTGAGACACGATTGCTTTCTGACTTCTGAGATAATTGCATTCACCGGGGCCTAAAGTCTGGGAGCGCTAGCTACTGATGGGACTAGTATTAATGTGAAATTCATCTCATCCAATCCAGATTATTAGAAGCTCGTGGTCATGAAATTGACAAATAAGTTTTGGGTCAATAGTCTGTTCCTACCCCTCCCTCTCCCAATTTTTTGATCAATGGCTCAACAGCCATGCTTCAATTCAAAGGAAGTGGAGATGCTGCAGGATTCGAAGGTAAAAAAATGGTGGTTGGCATTTCTGTCAATTGGTCTGAGCCATTTGGTCTAACTGACCCACCTAGACACCGACCCTATCTATGCTGGTAAGCTAACACTAATCATGTCGCTTTCGCCAAAGAGAATTGATGGCTCATGCCACTAAACAGACATAAATCTCTGATTGAATCCATCTCCTTCTAAAAATAAAACAAAGATGATAAAATCATAAAATTAATTGCCTTGAGTAAGTCTATAGTTCACCTTCAAAAACAAAAAAAAGCCTGAGACGAATTGACTGGATGAGATTTGTTTGATAAGTGGGCCGTGGGGTACGGTATAACCTTTTTCGGCCGAAATCAAGTTGTGGGGCAACAACTTTAGCATGGAAAATGTTGCCACTTTTTTCTTTAAAATAAGTCTTCTTTTAGATGATAATGCATTTGTGCAGCCACTCATTGTTGAATACACGAGGAAGTACTGTAAGGCTGTAGGCAAAGCCCAGAGATATTGTTCAAATCCCTTAGGATCCAAAACTGTCCGGACTGAAGGAGACAGGTTAACAGTTAACACATCTATTAAAAGCAACCTTACCCTAAGAAACTCCGCGAATGAAAAAATAGAGGAAGGAAAAGTTGGTTTGGGATCAGTTTTCACTGCCAACGATGGTGTCCAATCAGGAAAAACTAGTAAGAAAAATAAATGTTTTCTTCTACAACCAAGTCATTCCACCCATTAAAAAATCCTTGAAATGATCTAGGTGGTCTGAACTGTAATCGCTTGGAAACTTAGAAAAATCAGCCAATGTGTGATGCTGCCCACAAAAGTCTCTTTCTTTAGTTTCAAGGTAGAAATTTGGAAAAAAGTGAAAAGGGATGATTGGCTTAAGTTAAAATCATGCTTAGATTCTTTTCCATTGTTGCTTTTAATTACTTTAAAATTACATGTAATGCTGTATTTCGGGATCTAACAATATTTAGAATCCGATGCTAGAATTGGAGAAAAGTGGTATTCTACTTACTGCAAGAAATGGTTGGTGAAGTCTTCAAGTTATGTCTGTTTTTGACCTTTGGTTTTCCTGTTTTAGACCAGATGGATTAGTATATTCTTTTATGTAGAGTTTATTTTTGTTTATTTTACTATTTTTCATTGCCCATGGTTAGATCTAGACCAAGGAAAGCCGTGTTGTATCTGACAAAAAGACTCCCTCAAAAAAACAAACAAAAAGGGAAGATTTGCTGCTGAAAACGTTTGTCTGACACCCCCCCAAAGACACGGGTGTTAGAATTTGGTCTAGAGAATCAAACAAGTTAACCCAAAAAAGATTCCTCTTCAGCTCTTCTTCTTCTTCTTCCATGAATCCTAGAATGTGAAGCAATTATTAACTCTTCCTTATTTTCCTCAAAAGAACCATATCAATCAATCAAAGGAAAAAGCCAAGGTTTTTTAGAGGTGATCTATGGATAACTTTCCAAAAGTTTTATGTGGGTGGAGCTGGGAGGAGAACAAGTTGTTTGAGCTGGCTCTAGCAGTGGTTGATGAGCAACACCCAGATCGTTGGGAAGTGGTTGCAGCCATGGTTGGAGGGGAAAAAAGTGCAGAAGATGTGCAAAAACATTATGTGATACTTTTGGAGGATTTGCAGTTTATAGAGTCTGGCAAACTGGACCATAAACTTGGCGAAGCTCAGTCTTGTATTCAAGTCGACTCTGCTCAATCCGTATGCTGGACTGATGAAGATAACAAGTATGCAATCTTTCTTATCTGCGAGCTTCTTTTGCCTCTCTTCTACCAATTCTTTATATTCTTTCCCCTCTCTCGCCCATCATGTTTCATGAAACTGTCTAGTCCATTTTGATGATTAGAGAGTCTTAATTCACTAGGATCGTTACAATTCATAGCTAACGAGGAAGTAAACTAGGATACACGTGCATCTGAGTCTGTTGACTCTGGATCTGAGTGTTTACGCATGCATAGCCATCTGGGCTAATTCCCAGTTCAACAACTTGACCTGGCCATTCATAAGGGACAAGTAGAAGGATCCTATGTTACTATGCCTCTCAATCTAGGACTTTTCTTTTTAGCCTTTCCTGCATCATAAATTCATAATACAAATTTCATAGGAAATTTTTTCTCTATTTTATTCAGGATATATTTTTCTTTAGCTAGCATTTTAGGCCACTGAGACAATAACTTTGAATTGAGAATCATTCTATTTCTGGTGTTATTCTGCAATAGATGTAAAGTAAGCAATTTCAGCTTGAGCAGCTCTAGGCCCGAATTTATTCCTTAGCTGAAAGCCTAAAAAAAAGTCAACTTCTGAAGGGTGTTTTTTACCCTTTGTTTTCTTGCTTTTATTTTCTTTTGGACTGTATTTGAGTAACTCAAGTTTATATCCATAATTGGAATTTGGATGAATGATTCAGCTAATTATGTGATTCTACATCTATAACTCAAGCCTTTACTATAAGCAGATTTAAAGTCCTTGCGTAAGGTCAATCAGATTCAGTATGTATCTGTCTAGCTAACATGGTCATCTTTTTTCTTTTCTTTTTTTTCTTTTCTTATCTGATGGTTATAGTATTTTGGCTTACAGCTTGCTCGTCCGATTGGACATAAATTGATCCCCAGAGCTAGTTCTGGTTTATGAAATTAAAGCAGATTGGTTACTGATTGCTGCCAGAACTCATGCCCGCAAAGAATGCATGGCATATTGACAACCCTGGTTGTTATATTAATGCATCAATTCTAATGCTATATCCGTTGTTCCTAGAGGTAATCAATCTCTTCATTGTAAAACAAAAATTATTGGAAAGATTTCAACTTTCCGATTTGTGGATGGTAGAAAGGGGTCTGGGTCCTTGTTTGTTGGAAATTTAAGTAGTATGCTGTGTTAGACTTGTTTTACTTGTCTCTTTAAAGATTATGAGTCTCTATCTGGTCACATTGCGGCAACGTCCATCATCTGACTTTCTGGGAGAACTTTGCAAGTTGCAACCACTCCTTTTATATTGCTTAATATGATTGTGATTCTGCTCCTTGAAAAAAAATTGTTTCCCAATTGTGAAATCCACTTAAGGTAGTTAATTACAAGCATAAATTAAACCAATCTATCTTAAACGAACTTGATCTCATTATTCACATAAAGAACATAGGTAAATTACATTTCCATCAACGTACAGGGTGTCTACCGCTAATCGGAGAAGCAGCGATGGAAAGAACAGTGAAAAAGCAGTGTTTTCATGTCATTATTCTGTACGTGGAGTTCAGAATCGTTTGCTATTATCAACTTGAAATCTTAAATATCAAGAGAAATTTCATCTCTATGTACAATGAAATGAATATTCCACAGTATATTCAGAAAAAATAAATACCTAAACTTTGGGTCATATACTCGTATCACAAAACAATGCGATCATATTCATATCTGGTACCACTTCCAGTAACCTCATGCCATGTCAACAATTTTAGAGGGCAGCTCCACTTGGATTGGAAGAATAGTTTATCTTCAACAAAACAAAAGAAAATGTGCAATAGGGGAGAAAAAGAGCTGGGACCGTAGGGGCAAAATTCACCAGACTCACCACATTAGTTTTAGTTTCTTGTTAAACGTAGCTGTCATAAACCTGGATCTAAATTCAATCAATTGGCTATTATAATAAAAGATAAGAGAATAATCCCAACCATAAATAAGATGAAATAAAAGGGAGGAGAAAAACGGAGGAGGCAGAGCCAGGGAAGAGGCAGTGCATGAGAGGAGAAACAACAGAAATCTGTTGGTAGATCCATCCATGCTCAGCCTGTTCCCTGTCTTTGTCTGTCTCTCACATATTTCTCAATCTCTCACTATTGACTTTCACCTCACCTTGTCCCGGTGCATCTGTGAAAGCCCAAAACAAACCTGGCGCTTGCACAATGACCTCAGGGCTCAGGTCTCTATCCTTCTTTTTTGACAAAACTCATAAGCCATAGTGCGGTTTCAGCAAACCTGGGAACTTGGTTTGAGTCTTTGCTGTCATCTCAGCTATTTATGCTACAAATCCAAAAGGATTAGTGGATTACAGTACAACATGTACTAAACTGACTCTGTACTGGCAATTTTGAGTACTGGTTGAAAATATGTTAGTATTTCTGGAAGGACGAATATGTACTACACCTGATAGTACTCTCATATTCTCCAATGATATGGATACTATACACTCTCACGGCCTCTCCCAAAAAATAAATAAATAAATAAATTACTTTAGAATTTAAAGAATTGAATGATGTCATAGCGTAGCATCTCCACGGGAATCTTTGAATAAACAGATTCAGGTTATCACGTTGCGGATTTGGAATGGTATGTTCCATTAATGACGAAAGTCAATCAAGTATGTTTGCTTCTGATAGGAGAAATCGGTATTCTACTACTATCTCTTTTCAGGCAGATGCAGAAAAGCAACAGATACTGATTGAAAGCAGAAGATATTGGTCTATTTCAGCAAAAGAGATTGAGGTCTTGGATTACAAAACTTGGAAAGGGAGAGCTGATGGTGAAAAACAGATGACAAATGTTGCCTGTCGATCTAAGAAATTGCCAAGAACTAGAATGCGGCTGAGCAACCTTAACTACTAAGCCTTCCGAAATAATTTCAGAAAAAAAAATAAACAGAATAAATACAAAAAAAAAAAAATCAGAAATTAAGAGGAAGCAGTTACCTTCTGAAAGATTGAAAACCCTAATTTCGTAATTGGTCTTGAATCGTTAGCGGTGCATTCTAATTGGAGTTCAAAGAAGGAGAATTTTCTGGGAGAAATCTCGGTTTGATTTTCTTTTGGGCAATTTTGGAGGGAAATTGATCACCTCATTGATCAGCAGGAGCAGGCGAGACATATTGATGGAAGGTGTTTTCCCAAATGCGACATCGTTTAAGAGGAAGTCTGCGGTGCGCAATGATCTGCCTTTCCGGGCCTATTCGAAGAACAGAGAACAACGGATCTTGGGTTTTAAGTTTATTAATAAAATGTTAACCGATCTGGGCTACGAGTTAAGCCTGGATTTTGCATTTGAAGGCCCCGACACAACTCTTTTTTTTTTAAATTAAAAGCATGGTTATAATTTAATCACCTAATGTATTTTATATATTCTTGTTAGAGATTTTAAACTTAAAAAATATATTTATATAATGAGTATTTACTGTCACGTCAACATTTTAATTTTTTTATATAATAATTGCATATTACAAATTTGTATTAATACTTAAAGTTATTGTATGCTAATCAAAATTTATATTAATATGCAAAGTTTATTACGTGAGAAAAATGTATTAGATTAATATATGATTTAATTGTTTTAAAGTTTAATATAAAATTGGAACTCTGAAGATAAAATAATTAAATATAGATCTCAACTGTTTTATTTATATCAAATAAATTTATTCAGAGAAAAGCCTTCAATGGAAATAAATTTTCATTTAAAAATTGAATAAATCTCATTAATATTTACAATAAAAAATATTTAAAATAGTAATTTAAAAATATAATAAACCAATATATATGATTGGTGGGGAAGGAAAGGAGGGATTGGGGTTCACAGCAACTATACGGACACTTGCTCTAGCTGTAATGCATCATCTTCATCTCGGCATCCAGCGAAGGTTATACAACTGTTTTGTCATTTGTGTGTTTATGACAGGATAAATTTGGTGGAATTTAGATGCGCACATGGTAGGACATTAAGACCACCGAACTTTAAAGATCCAAAACTAGCATGATTAATTATGTCAAACCCTTTGACGATGGTCCCATAACTTTTTCCCAACCTTTGTCAAAAACACCCATAATTGGAATTTGGAACCACCATGGGAGGTTCGTTTGTATGTCAGGAACAATCAGGTTAATTAGTCACTTTCTAAACAATAAAAAAAAAAAAAAAGCACTCAATTTTCTGCAAACAAGCCATTTCTTAAGCAAAACTTAACTTCCGAAAGTCCCAAAGATGCAATTAATAAGTAATTTATGGTCCATGAAGCTTCGAATTTGATTTCCTAGAGTAAGGTAATGAAATGAACAAACTTTCAGGATTAGAAGAACCAAGCCCTTCGAGCTTGATTGGCTACTATATCCTTGCACTCTTGAATAATTGGCATCACAAGCTCTTCCTAATTAAGAGGCTAAAAACAACGAAAATAAATAATAAATGGAAGGTGAAACGCTTGAATAAACAATCACATGAGAAGAACATCGAAGTCACTAAGGGTCCATTCTGCCTCTTCATCTTTGTCACTGACAAAAATTTCTGTACCCATGTCGATAGATGTCCATATTCTTTTAGCAGGAGGGGTGTCTGGATCCTGAAATTGAAAAAAGAGCCATAAACGGTCAACAAGGAACAAGATTATTTCGCAGTAACGCGTTCTCAGATAAGTTATACGCAATACCTGATAAAAGTAGAGTCTACTGGCTAGGCCTCCGGTGTCGAGCACCCAAGTTCTTGGATCCCCAACCCAGCCTTGTCCCTTTTCGGTTGGGTAGCCATATTCAGCCCATATGGGGTGAGGCAGCAACTGAACTATTTCTTGCGCTTGAGGATTGCTGTATGGATCACAAAGGCTAACAGGTTCCTCCAAGTGTTTAGCATTGCCAGGAGCACAGTAGTAGTGATAAGCACCATATGGGAAATTGGCAGTGTCATTTCTGTAAATCTTTTTGTTGTCTGGAGTAATATGGTATGGTGGGCAGTTGCCCAAAGCGGTCGGGCTACACCAATCTGGAACATCTGGATTGACGATCATCTCACTGTATCGTGTAACGTCTGTGAGCACATCTCCATCACAAGGCTTACCATTATTCTTCCAGCAGCTGCCGATATCTATCAGGTAGAACTGGCTCTTGGGTCCTCCTCCTTTTTTTACATCCAAAGTGAACCTGACTTTAAAATCAGACTCTGGGAGCTGAAAGTAAACCAATTCGTTACTCTTTCAAAGTGAGAGTGACTAACAAGTATGCAGTGAAAGGAATCAAAAGATCCAAATCATAATCATAGACCACTATTGTTTTATTAAGAAAACTAATTGATAGCATGACAATATGACCTCTGTGGTCTTGAATCAATCTGTTTCAAGGCCTGTCAACTCAGGTACCAGTTCAACCCACATCCAGTTAATGTACAAAGTAAGCAAGGACATGGATTTGGTATGAATTAGTTGTAAAAGTAACATGGTTAGGCCTGATTTGATATCAGCCATGATTAATGTTGCAGAGACACAATTTGCCTCCCAAATAATGACATATTTCACTCACCTGCCACATGAATGGTATTTTCAAGAAGCCAAGAAAATAACACCATCAGCAATTACAGCACTACATTATGTCCTCGAGAATTTAAGAACACTGAGAGATTAGAATAATCTACATTTTTTGTTAAGCACAGAAAATCAAGATTAAAAAAATTGTGACTGGGATCTTAAACTAATTAACCAAGTAAAGCAGTAGTATTTTTCTTCCAAAGAGTTTCAACTTACGGTATTGAGCATTCCTCTTGTTTCATAATGGTAGCCTCCAGAGAATCCTTTGGTTGCATCAGCTCTGAGGTATAGCATCAACCATGGGTACTTCTTTGAAGTCTTGAGCTTATGCTTAAAGACCCAACTTCCAGAAGCAAGCTTCTTCTCCCAAACCACCTCATAAAAGGAGATATTGTCAAGTCCTTTCCCAATATCAGAATCCAAATCATAAGTTCCATTGAACCATCCTCTCATTGTTCCGTCACCTAAGAGTTGTGTCGGTTGATGATTAAAAGTGGGCTGATTCATGCACCCTTCTCCAAAGCAAGGAAACCTCGTTGTAGTAAAAGGAGGCACGAATCTCCCATTTTCAGGACACCAACTGGTCCTTGTGTCAAAGTTGCCATTTTTTAGCATAACCATCCAAAAATGCCATGGCTTTGAATTTTCTGAAACTTCACATAAAGAACCTAAATATAACTCCTTCTCAACTGCATATAGATCTGGGCTGTGCAGTGCATTTAGAGTCAGTCCTTTGAATGATTGGCCTATCCCAAGTCTGTTATCAGCCTCTGATACCTTGTGTATCAGAGTTGAATCTTGCCCCATTTACAAAAAAGAATTAGAACACTAGAAAATTTTCAACCAAATTTAAGAATACTAAACAACTGTTACAATAGAAATCATATTCTTTTGCTAGTTCCAAGGAACAAAAACAAAACTCATGCAGAAATCAATTACTGCACCCGTTCTGATAAAATTATAGTAAATTCTATAAAAAATAATTCTAATTCATCATATCATAAAAGCTTTAATAAAAAGGAAAAAGTTTAAGTCTTTGGTTTACTTTTTGTATGTATGCTTGTTTTTTTAATTATTCTTGTACTTACTTGCAATATCAAAACAATCAGCAGCTCTGGGGCTTCCCATGCCAGGAGCTTCATATGCAACTTCATTGCAAAAGTTCCAAGCTTCAAAGGCCACTCTTAAACCATCTCTTTCCATTCCTGGATCACCCACTGCTGATATTTCTTTTTCGGCTGCTTTCCTTTCTACTACCTTTTCAGTTCCGGCACTAACTCCCCACATAAGCAAATTTACCCACAGAAACATCGCAAGCAAATGCAACTGCTTCTCCATGGTGCCTCTCAGCTCTGCCTCTAAAGCAAACTTACGTTGTGATTTCTTAGGTTTCTTTGTTTCCTTTGTATGAAAACATGTATATAAATAGAGATTCGGCCTGAGCTGGTTACCTGACTAATTTCTATCACTAGTATTTACCAGTTATAGGACTTCATTGTTATGTCTAACTACATCTTAACCCGATCGAAGATCTTTCGTTCCTGTTTTTTCTCCTGAAACAGTTTTTTTTATCATACGAACTCTTCCTGTTCCTTTAAAGCCAAAGAAAGTTACCCTTTTGAATTCTAATTTTATCTTTCAAAAGTATAGTTGTTTCATTGTTTGACTTTTAAATAATGGTAAAATTCATTGACCAAATTTCAACATAGCAAAATAAAATAGAGTTAAGGTAGTTGTAACCTGATCTAGCATTATTTTCTCCTTTTTCTTGAAAAAATGAGACATAATACAATATGTTTAATCAAGATAATTACTTATATAAATATATAAAAACTAAACTTTTCGATAAAAAAGAAAACAGTCCAATCTGAATTGTTTATATTTTTTATATGTAGATGGATTTAAAAATCACTATGTATTCTTTAATAAATGCATTTTATTTATTTGAAATATTTTTATTATTTTTTATAGTAACGCTTTTATTACTTAAAAAATAATTAGTTAGACTAAATTAATTACATTTATTACATTTTAAATAACCAATAATTTTACCTTATAGGAATAAGTCACAATTAATTTGGTTAATGATATAGATAAAAAAAGAAAGAAACTAAATAATAATAAACTAATTACTCATGAATATATTTTCATATCTTCTATTACTTATGAAGAATTAAATAAAATTTAATGTGGTAAATAAGGAAATAAAAATGAGTCATTTAACAAGTTGACAATAATGATATCAATAAATTAGAAAAAAATTATTTTTTTTAAATACAGCAAATTAAATAAAAATTCACAATTTATAATTTTGAAAGGAAAATTGAATTAATTCTATATTTTTTATTACTTATTACATTAGACAGTTAATGATAGTAGCTTTTTAATACATTTACAGTAACGTTTTATTGATAGTAATATAAACACAATATTTTCTCAAAAAGAATATTAACAAATCGAATTTTATTATTCTCCAACTTTTGTTTTACTACTATTTTATCTCTATTATCTTATAAGAAATTTATTTTGTAATCTTGCTTGCTAGTCTTTTGTAAGTTTATGGAGATTTTACCCTTTTTTTTTTTATTTTTGCAATGGTTAGGCTTTATTTTTAGAATAGCAATTTTATCAATTATAGATTTTAGTATAATTTATTTAATCTATAATTTAAAAGGCGAATCTTTGATAATATATATATATATGTTGAATATGATGTTGCTAAATATTTTTTTTTTGCGAGGTATTAATTAGCATATGCTTAATAATTTTGGTTTATTTTAAGAGGTTACTCGATAAGATTATATTAATTTGCAAGGTTTTATAATCAGATGTTAAGAACAATTTATTAATTTTGATGCTATTATACTAGAAGGCTATACATTGATTGTGTGCCAAATCATAAGAATTCTTAGATATTATATTGTAAGCCAAATCGACCTAAAATTATTTAATTGATTATGACCAAATTAAATATGTTTTGGTCTTAATTGAACAAAAAAAAAAGGTATTTTCTAAGTTCTCGTGAACAAAGCTTTAGATGATGTAAAGGGTAATTAGTTTGTAACTTTTAAAAATCTTATAAAAAATAAATAAAATTTTCAATTTTGTGAAATTTATCATTTATTTTATTTAACAAGTCATAAAATTAAAAAAAAAACTATAATTGAAACTCTTATACCAAATTTCTTATACTCTTCTATATTTCTTTTTTAGATATTTTTTGTTCAATTTCCTTTTTAGATAAATAGATATATATGATAAAAATTATAATAATTTACTTATTTATACATAGCGCCGGCTTAAAACTAGTATGCCATAGGCAAACCAATCCATATTCAATAAGCATTGATTTCATCAACTGCATAGGGGAAAGTTGAATAGTACAGCACTAATTTTCCAATCCATATATATATCCTGAAGAAAAGAAAAAGAAAATGAAAAGAAGCTATTTTTGATAAAATAACTCTCCCAACTCTTTTTATTGAAAAATCAATCTAGCATTTAATCATAAAAATTTATAAATTTAAAGAGTATTTAGTGGGAAAGACTTAGGTAAATTGCTTAGATGAAATTTGTGAATTTCATATTAAAAATGATTAAATCAAAATTAAAATTAAAATCAAAATTAATAAATTAAAAAGTCTTGTTACATAAAGTGTAAAATTAAAAATAATAATAATAAAATTTGATATATTTTTTAAACAAGTATTTGTAGTAAAAATTTTAACAAAATTTTTATCAATGAATAGAAATCAAATTTAAATTATAAACAACATTTAATTTTTTTTACATATTATCATTTTTCATAATAAATTCTATCAATTTGTTAGTTTAGGCTTTTTATTAAAGTTTTTATTAAATTATTTTTAGAAAGGAATTGTACAAGTTTCATTTAAAGAATTTTATCTAAGTTTGTCTTATATTTAGTAACTAAAAAATTATAATTTAATTTATATTCATAACAAAAAATATAAGTTTTTAAAAAATGACAAAATAATCCTATATTACATGCCGATATAGATAAAAGAAAATTATCTTATGGTAGTCTTAGTAATTTGGAGTGTTCAAAATTTGATTTTAACTTAATTAAACGATCAAATTTATTTAATTCAATTAATCAGTCGATCAACAAATCAATTTTAATTAGTTATTAGAAATAATTTTAAAAAAATTTTAATTTCAATTAATTCAATTCAAAAATCAAATTAATTAAAATTTTAACTAAAATATATAAAATCTATATATAAAACAAAAAATATATAAAAATGTCAATTTCATTTTAAGTTATTAAAATTTTTATTTAACATTTTGATATTTAAATATTTTTATTATATATTTTTATTTAATTTATTTAAAATATAAAAATTTAAGAATTTATAATATAATTTAATATATTTTATCATTTGATTAATTAAAAATTAATCAAAATGATTAAATTAATTTTAATTAATTAGTTTTTAAAATTAAAAATTTTAATTTAATTAATAAATTTATAATATTATAATTCAATTAATTGGATTCAAAATTAATTACACGATAAAATAAGTACCTCTAGTAATAATGCACAAACAAATTAATAAAAGAGGGTTTGATGATATTTTATTTAATTAATTTTATCCACTTTTTTATAGTTTTTTTTTTTTTTGTTCGTTACTTCCTTATCCTATTTTTGTCATTTAATTAATCAGTACCGTCGAATCAAAAAAATACCCCCTAGTACCTACGTAAAATTATCCTTGTTCATGAAGGATCATGTAAAATAATAAATGCAAACAGGAAATAGCTAATCCGCCGGCAGACCTTCCCCAATGAATGTATGTTATGCCAGTTGGGCATTTTCTGACCCTCCACAAACTGACAAAGCTCAGGCGTATGATTCAGAGGCAAGCAAGATCACTAAGTGCATCCCTACATTCTGGTGAAGAAGTTAATTGAAAGGACAGTGAATAATTACATTGACCAGTTCTGTCTTTTTTTTTTTTTTTTCCTGGAAGAGTGACAGCATCTGCAAAAGACTATATATATATTATATACACAGTTCCATTTCCTTTGTTCGTGAAGTACTTGAACCAGTTGATAAAGGAAGTTTCCTCACTAATATGCCGAGGGATCAAAATTAGCTACCTAGGAAAATATTACCATAGATTTTTAGTGGAGGTGGAACGCTGTTGGTTGGGGGAGATATTGCTTTGTATGCGACCAAAATATAAACTTCCAACTGACTTACTTTTCTTTTTTCTCTTTTGTTATACGCCAAATGATTGATATTGTGATGGTTGGTGGCCATGAACACGGCTTCCAAATTTACCCGTAAAGAAACACTTGTTATCTATGTCACATGGTTCTGAAATCAAATTTGGTTGGTTTGAACAAAAAAATATCAGCAAGTCTTTGTCTTTTCTTGATGGAGGATATGATTTCTAAGTTTAAAAAAATTCTCTCCTAGCAAATCATAACTAGAGGTATTATTTTCCTAGAAAGTTACAATTTCAAGGATATAATAATTTTTCTATAATTATATTCCTCCTTTTTCTAGTTAAAAGAATTTCTTTTAACAAATGGTATTATCTTCCAAGCAGGTTCTATTACAAGGATATAATAATTGTTCTATAATTCTATTGCTCCCATATGCTGTAAAGACGAACAAATCTTGCCTGATTTGCTTCACAATCAGGAATTAGAGCTGTCTAGAAATTTGTTGGAATAGTATTACTACTACTATTGATTATATGGGCTTAGTATGTGATTAACGGGTGTTAATCAATTAAAAACCAGCCTATTAATTGATTCTGTCACTTTGTTAACGGCCCAATTTCTCACAAAACGGATCAGTTTTCAGGTAACCCATTAAATAATATATGGGCCTTCAAAAGCTCACTGAGCCTGGACGCAGAAGTAGTTACAGCAACTTACATGCATGCACCGCTAGCACCCTAGTCAAAACTTGGCGATCACGTTTCTTGCAGAAGGGTTTAACTAGGGTTTAAAACCCATTATATACTTTTATTCTCCTTCTTCTTTCCTAGAAACCCCAATGTTTTCATCAACACAACAAAGAAAAGTAAAATAAGCCAACCAAGCTTTAACACCAACAACAACATGCAGCAGATGGGTTTAGAACCCTGTCAACTTCTTCTTCGACCGGGTACTACGATATGGGAAGGGGTTTGAATTTGTGGCTGGTCTTGAATTTCTGATGGGAAGATGGCTGGCGTGGAGATTGATTGTGGGGCTGTGAAATAAAAGCCATGATGGTCATCTTCAAGGACGAGTCGAAGTTGGGATTTGGATTGGGGAGAGAGAAAAGGCTCATCTTCCATCTGAGAAAAAAGAAAAGAAAAATGCCTTCAACTTCGCAAAGGAGACGAGCTTTGAGATTGTGGTTGCTGTCGCGGGGTTGTTGGTTTCAACTGTTGGGTTGTTTTGTTTCTTGTTAATTGTCATACGCTGACATAAGAGCTTCGTCCAATCTTGCGTCAGTGGGACCAATGTTTGCCAATTGGCACAGCTTCTTCTTTCTCTTTGCAACTAACCATCGCTTGGTCGCAACAATTGGTTTAGAAAAATTAAAATTCCTATACTCACTCTTTCTTAATTGCAAAACTGATTGGTCCCCTAAAATTTAATACTACTATAGTTTAGACAAATTATACAAACTATACTATTTTTATCTCTAGGCTTAATTAAAAAGTGATGTGTAAAAAAAAAATGTCCTTAATGCTACACTAACTTTTTAAAAAAGGTTATAAATTAGTATCAGAAATAGTGGTGCTAATAACTTTATTATCAAATTGAAAATAGTGACAGTGGGCTTCAAATGTACGTGTAAGTTTCCCTATTATTCTAAAAATTAATTAATGTAGATCATACTTTAAATATTCAAAAAACCACCTGACATCTAGAATAATATATTATATACACTCAACCTATATCGGGCAAACTTATCTTGTTTCATTGCCAAATTGAACTTCAAAGCCAAGAAGTAGTTTGGTCTAGTATTTAAAATACAGATATCCAATATCTAATTTTATATATAAAAAGATGTCCTGTTACAAATGTTGTTGCAGGGCAATGATCATCGGGCCTTTCCTTTCTTAGCCATATTCTTCTCAATGGCTCTCTCTGTTATCAGATCAAAGCGACGCCTGGTAACTCCATCTCAGCAAACACCATCTGGCAAGCTAGACTTATCATTCATTGATAAAGTACCGGTTCTCAGATGCTATACTCGCACATTGCACGTCTATAGATATGGCCCTGAAGCATCAAGAGTCGTTAGAGAAGCCTTGTCAAAGGCCTTGGTACCCTACTACCCCCTTGCTGGACGGCTAAAAGATTCAGGCGAAAATCAGCTTCAGGTTGAATGTTCCGGAGAAGGCGTGTGGTTCGTTGAGGCATCAGCTGATTGTAACCTTGATTCCTTCAATTACTTCGATAATGCTAATTTGTCCATTCCTTATGATGAACTTCTTCCTGATCAAGTTCCGAAAAGTGAAGGCATGGAACCTCTTGTACAAATGCAGGTATTAATTAATTGTGTTAATCAAAAATTGAATTCAACCAACAATACTAATAATGTGATGAAGCTAAAATACGTTTCGTTGGAATGCATGGTTTTTGTTTCAGGTGACACAATTTGCATGCGGTGGTTTTGTGATAGGCCTTATATTTAGCCACACTATATGTGATGGCCTAGGATCTGCACAATTCCTAAACGCTCTAGGGGAGTTGGCAAGGGGTCTGGAACATCTAAGCACTGAACCAGTTTGGCATAGGGACTTTTTTCCAACTCCAACACATGAAGCAAATGTCAACGTATTGCCAAACTTGCCACCCCCAACGCCTGACTACCTGCTAGAGCATGTTAGTATTGACATTTCCATGGATGAAATCAACGAGCTAAAGCAAGGATTCCATGAGTCGACAGGGCAAGCTTGTTCTGCTTTCGAAATTGTAGCTGCCAATTTATGGAGCCTTCGAACAAAATCAATAAACTTCAAGCCAGATACTGAAGTCCGGCTTCTTTTCTTTGCAAATTGCCGTCAGCTTTTGGACCCTCCTTTGCCTAAAGGCTTCTATGGAAACTGTTTCTTCCCAATAACAATTGCAGCTCCATGCGAGTTGCTTACACAAGCATCAACAATTGAGGTGATTAAACTGATACAAGAAGCAAAGAATAAGCTACCTGTTGATTTTGCCAAATTCAAGGATGGCGATTACTTAAGAAATGGTAAAGACCCATTTGCACCACCTCTAGGCTACACCACTTTGTTTATTTCAGAATGGGGTCGGTTGGGGTTCAACCAGGTTGACTTTGGATGGGGCCCTCCGGTCCACTTGGTTCCAATACCTGGCTCCGCCATCATCCCAGTTGGTATCATGGGGTCGCTGCCATTGCCCAAGAAAGGTATCCGTTTGATGACATGGTGTGTTGAAAAGGACCATCGCCAGCCGTTCCTTGATCTGATGACAAAGCTTGTCTAACAATTAAAGAATGCTTGAAGTCTTAAACTCCTATTGCTTTCTTCAGGTACAAAGTGTAAAAATAAAACAGGTGTTATTTTTTTGTTTCCTTTATGCTTTTCCCATTTTCCCATTTTGTTCGGGTTTGCTGCGAAATCGGTGACTTCATCGACACAAAATAAAGCAGAATTTATGCTGTTTCAATGTGAAGTATTGAATTATATTCAACTATTCTTGTTTTTATCTATGCACACTACAATGAGTCCAGTAAAGATTTAATGGAAGAGAAACGAAAAATGATTCCAACTCCTCTGTTCGAGTTGAGATTTGAATAAAGTAAAACCACAGCCCAGTATAAGGACAGACTTTTGGTAGAATGTATGGATAAAACTATTTGGGACTTGGGAGTCGAAATTTGATGAAATGCCAAGCTAACGACATAGAAGCCCAAATCATAGAAGCCCTCGATTATTTATTAGAACTCGGGGGGACAAACCCACATGGAAATGCCTACTTACTCGAGACAGATAAAGTTCTTGCCTACTTGCCTAGCCTTCTAGCTCTGTCCAGCTTAACAAGAAAGTGCCTTTACACAAGTCTAAATACTGGAGGAATTGGAAAACGTAATGATTGCTGTTGACGGGGGTGTGCATATGTTTTTATGCCCAAATTGAACCATAAAAAGTTGTCAAAGCTACATCAGAGTGTCTTCATGCATCTAATCCTTTCCCACTAAGTGCTCCCATGCTCATCTAATTCTTTCTGGGTATCATTCCTTTTCTAATAGTTGATGATTTTCACTTAGATGCTTAGTGGTTGGAGATAGGCTTTGAATGTTGTGGAATTTTGGTTAGACAATGATGTGATAGCATCATTTAACAAATGAATTTAAATGCACTGTTATTCCTTCAACATTTTTATTGGAGGCCTTTTTTTAAAAAAAAAAATTATTGGGGTTTTATTCAACTCTTTGAAAATTCAATGAAAAACTTTCAACAAAGCTCCTTATATTTATTTCTCCACCATGTCATTTTCTGAATCATAGCCATGATTTGATCAGATTATTTCTCATTTGTTATAAAACATTTTTGTCCAAATAAAGACTGATCTATAACAAATTTTCGTTTTGTTGCGGATTGCCAAACAATTATGTGTATTTCCGATGGATCAGGTTCCTATTCTTATGTTATATGTGGAAGGATTTTAAACTTAAATATAAGAAAGCTAAGAATAATTAAAGTAAAAAAAAAAAAAAAAGGAGTGAGAAACCCATGAAAGCCTTTAATTTCCCAAGTAGTTGCGTTACATTTCGGTCAAGCAAATAGTTTGAATTTTATGGTATAAAATGAAGAAAAAAAAGAAGAAATATATATATGTTCAAATTTCATCTTGTTGGCTTTATATTCTTAATCAAGAAGATTTTGTATGCACCCACCAATAAATTCAAACGTTGGGTCGACCGAAATAAAATTTAAAAAAAAAATGTTTAAACATATTCAATGTATTATAAGTTACAGCAAAAAAAAAATCAATGGATTATAAGAATTTATATTCTTGTTGTTCTTAATTTCATCTTTTTAATATTTATAAATTTTAAGAATTTAAACAAAATTAAGGAAATTTTTTTTTAAATTACAATTAAATAAGGGTGGTTGAACTATATTAATCTATCTTCGTTTTCAAAAGCAAATATCAATTACCTTGCTAACGACTTCTCGTCGGATTGGCCCAAAAAGGCAAAAAAGACATTTCATCACAAACTCTGAATAAAAAAAAAAAAAAAAAAAGATTTGGAGTTACATAGGATCCAAACCAAACACTTTTCTCAGTTCTCTAAATCCATCCGTCAATAGACAAAAGCAACACGTGAACATACTGTTGAATAGAGTGGAAAACAGTTGGCCACTTCTAGAGGGAGACTAAAAAAAAGTCAGACATCAAATTTGACCATATGCAATTGGTCCAATTTTTTTAATTTTTAATATATTTAAAAAATATTTATCATCTTATAAGCTTCTTCCACGTCTAAAAACTAATATCTCATATCAGAATTCTTCAAACTATTATAGTTATTTTAATTCAGGGTTGGTAGGTCATAGTTTTCTCGCTTGGTTCATTAAGAGGAGGGAAAATGACATCGTATAATTTCTTTATATTTGCAATTAATGATTTTTATTTTGACAAAAAGGAATTGAATTCAGTTATTTTTAATTCATTAATTTATTATTAAGTAAAATATTCATGATCAATTAATAATTAAATTGTATCGATACAAAAGATAATTCCAATTAATTTTCTTGCTCCTCCGTTTTGTTAATTTGGACATAGTTCAATTGTTTAATTAATACCCATCATTTTACAAAAACCTATAATTGAGGTTAGTCCCCGGAAATTATGATTGTCTCCCTATTCCAAAAAGGCTAACGGAGAAAATTTGGGAGGTGGGCAATTTCTTCTTGCTTTCTCTCGTGTTATGCCCGTCCATATCACTTCAAATTCATTTTCACAAACGCATGAAACGTACACTTCTTACATCAAAAGTTTGAAATTTGCTTTCTCCTAAATATTTAATGCAACAACGATTCAAAGCAAAGAGAGGACGGATGAAATGTGACTCAGATTCATATGGATAAATTAATTTAGATTACCAAGTGAATATGGTGAAAACCCATTTCCTCAAATAAAAAAAAATAGTGCCTCAGCTTTGTTGGGAGCAACGCTATTACAGTCATGTTGAGGTAGAAGTAGACTCAGAATTTGCTGCAATAAAGATTACAGTTAGCTAGTCCTATTAACGATTCTCAATTCCTTGTTAATTTCATTGAATCTAATTTATTAAATATTTAAATTAATTTAAATATTCATATAATTAATTATTTTTTAAAAAATCATATTTAACAAATTAATTTAATATTTATAACTCATTCTTTTATATTTAGGAGGTGACTTTCTTTATAAAAAAATTTGTTGGAAATTTACTTGGGAGTGCACAATTTGGTATGTTTTTCGTAGAAGCAAAATGGATGATCTCAGTTGGGTCTTCATGTCTTCAACAATCTTTTTAATGATACATATTAATTCTATTCCTTTTTTTTTTTTTTTCATGATTTCATTGGCGTTGTTTGGTTTTGATATATTTAAATTTTAGTTTTATATTTTCTTATTCAAAAAAAAAATTAGTGCTTAAAAAATTTTCCAACAATGATCATATCTAGGTAATTGATTCCCTTCAGCTTTATTCCATGACTGTCTTTTTCCGTGGTAAGCCGTTACTCCAAGCCAAGCCAAGCTAATTGAATTACCAGAAATATAATAGAAAACAAACTTTGAAAAGTCGTTTTTGGCGTTTAGCCTGAAAAACGAAACAAGTATCGCATTGTTTCAAATGGAGAAAAAATTGAAAACTAAAGGGTTAATTTCCAAAGCTGTTATTTTCCAGTACAACCGAACATGGTTGCGTTATCCTAGAAGATATGTAAAAATAGCTAAAATCTTATATTTTATAGGATATATTTGATTATAATATGTGCGGCGCACATGAATATATATATATATATATTAATTTTTTTGAAATTATATTTAAAATTTTAAAACTCATAATATATATAAAATTTATATATATTGACTTGTCATTAAAAAATAAGTTTTTTAAAAATAGTTAAAAAAATTAAGTATTTTTTTGGATATTTGTGTTTACAATAATATTTATATATTTGTAAAATTATATCAAATAAAAATAAATTATGCATTTTTTTAAAAATAAAAAATATATTATTGAATGATAAATTAAATAATAAAAGAATTATTATCACACTTTTACTTTAGAAATAATCTTGACTAAATTATTATACAAGATATGAAAAATATTAGAAAATATGTAAAAAAAGAAAAAATTGAAAAAAATTATTTTGCATAAGAATGAAATTGTAATAACAATAAAATATATCTGAAAAATTTTTATAAAAAATAATAGAATATACCTTATAAAAAGTTACTGAAAAAATAAAAAATTTGATGTATAACATATTATATTTGTAATTTTAAATTTGTAAAAATTTTTTTTCGTTACAATCACGATTAAATAGATAATTTTTAAAATTTAAAATAGCTATAATAAGTGATAAAGATAATATTAAATTGTTTGCATTTATTTGAAATATAAACTTGATAATTATAATTCAAATGAATATAATTATTTTGATAATTTTATTATTTAAAGATTTAAAATGAAAATTTTAAAAATTTTCAAAATCCGACATAAAATTACTTGAATTTTTAATGTCTTATGTAAAATTTTTAAAAAGATGAATTTTTAAATCAAGATAAAAAAAGATTGTTGAAATATTTGAATAAATTTAATCTTTATAATTTTTAAACATGTTTGAAAAATTTTGATAATTAAATAATTTTTTAAATAAGATTATGAACTAAAATTCTTTATTAAAAATAAAATTCATATTTTATATTTTTAATTTTAGAATATATATCTCTAAATTGATTTGATTTTCAATTATAATTTGAATAATTTTAAAATTTAAATAAATTTAAAATTATCTAATTTGTAATTAAAAAAATTATTTTATGTGTTATTTAAGAGAATTATTTATATAAACATCTATGTGATAAATTTATTTTATATATATATATATATATATATATATATATATATTAGATTACATAATATTGCTTTAGGGAAAAACACAATTGGGATATGGTTGACAATGTGAAAACTCAAAAATTTTGACTAAGATGAAGCTAAAGGTTTACGTTTGAACTTTGAATGGTAGTAAATACTATTTTACACGACAAAACTTGGTGTTCAAGGAATCTCTCTCACGAAAGCGCATATAAATATGTTTTTAAACAACTCAAAAGTAAAGAGAGGCCAGCCAGCCACGAAGTTGGAATAAGTGTTTCATTTCAACTTCTTTTTGAACTTTTGGTAAGTAAATGCTTCTCAATGACTCTTTTCATCATTTGTGTTTTCATTTTTTCTCTTTTTCTTCTTATCTGTGGTGAGTTAGGAGGGTATCTGGGATTTGGGTTAGGCTCAAATAATGGCTTTGTCGATGGTATGTTCTTCACTCGGTATAACAATGATGATGAAGTTTTGTATTGAAAACTTCAGCTTTTGCAAATTATTATTATTCTTAGATGGGTGCCAGGGAGGCGTTGTTGCAGAGAAATTTTCCTGTCAAAAACAGGGGAAACCGTCTTAATGTCTCTTTTAATAGTCTTTTCATCTTATGATATGAATCACGACTATCCTGCCTTTGCTTTTCTTTTAAGGTGTGTGCTTCACTAAGTTAGAAACCGCCTTTTCTCTTTCATTCCCATCTTCTCTGGGATCTTTGTTGTCTATTTTTTGCTGATGGAAAACTTAATAGAGGTAGTAAATTTTTTACGTCGTCGAGAAAGTTTATTGTGAATTAATTTCTTACACCAGTAATTCCAAGATGGCTGTTTTTCTGGGATTAAAACAAT